ATTACCGGGAGGAGACAAGGCGTGCTTATGTGCTTCAAGTAATTTTGGTTTTCTAACTTTCGGTTAATTCAGCTTCCAAATAATTAGTGTTGGGTTTTCCATCATTAGAGATTGGAAAGCCTTCAATTAATTGCAATGTCTCAGCAAAATCCAGCCTACTTATATCATGCATGAACAGATTTCATGAGAAGATCATTTCACTTTGAATTATGCCACGCATCTCTCTTCTGTGTGTTTTGATGTAACAATTTTTCATATCTCATATCAATCAGAGTCCTCGTGAACTTATTATACTATGTGTCATTCTTCATCCATCTAGTCTCATGCAGTATTGAGAAACGGTATAAATCACAAGCATATATGTCGCATAATTGATCGTGTTTTCTCGCTCGCCTAGATTCACCACTTGTTGGATAAAATTTGTTTCAAAAAACATTCCTACCTTTTAACCTATCTTCCAAATGTCTTATATTGCACAGAGCAAAACGTGAGTTTGCTGTTGTTGCTCAAATGATTCGACCAAATGGGAGAAAGGGCAGCCAGGGAGAAAGATACTATCATAGTTGGTTGCGATAGAAAAACAAAGCATGCTGATGCAGACAGCCAATATGAGTAAATATTGGTGGGTTTGGACTTTGGAGTGAAGTGAGTGGGCAGTCAAGGAGACATATGACACAGTAGAATGTTTTTGGTCCCTGATAAAAAAATCATCACTATAGTTACAAAGAATTTGTTGTGGTACCTCAACAACAACAACAACCATGAATATGTTCCCTCTGATGCAGAAATTTCGTGGGGGAAAGAAAAGTACATATTACGAACAAGATCGAGTTCAGCCTAGTGATAATACCACTAGTTTAGAACCTGGAGGTTTCAGGTTCGAATCCCTCCAGCAGTATCTTAATCACAAAAAGTTAAACCAACGTCACCCTTATATAAAAAAAGTACATATTACTCTTTGCTCTCTCCCAACCACATTGATTGATAGTTAGTAGTTAACACGGTTTAATTCAGAAAAAAAGGGTTCGTGTAGTTCCCCCGCCATCTGAATGACATTTTCAGCATTCTGAATGTTGCATTTGTCCAATTTTATGTTGATATGACTTGATGTTGATAACGCGCAATCAAGAAACTAAGTGAATACAATGTTGTGCAATCCGATAAGTTAAATAACGAAAGTTTAAACGAAATAAACGCGGACAGCAAACGACGTGAAACGATTCCTTAGATATGAGCATATTGTCTTAATTTTTTTTTTTTTTGTATTGAGCTAAAATGGAATCCCATGTTTGATTACGATGATGTGATGTATACATTGCGATGTTTTTTTTTTCTCTCCTTTTAATAGTGTAGAGAATAATTTTGATGGGTTAATCTTGATTTTAGTGGTTTTTAATCATGATGTATACAATAATCTAAAGGTACTACCATCTTAAGTGACATGCTTGAAATTCCAAAAAATCAAAACATTACTGTACTTCACAGAAAAGAAGACCACGCCCCTATTTGGCAGCAATCATTCCCTCTCTACTTTCTTATGTTATTGTTGGTAAAATTTGCCCCCCAAACTTCTCCATCTTCTTGATTTCCTCTGATTTTTCTGTTGGTTGGCCTTGATATTCAAATTTAGAGCGTAATAGATGTTGTCATCACCACACTAGGTCAATTTTGAAAAATGTGATTTTCTTGGGTTAATTAACAAACATTTTATAGCTTGGGTTCGAATTAATTAGAGGGTATGAAGTCAATTGAGTTTGGAGGTAAAGATTATGATGCGTACAACTCAATTTATATTTATCTTTAGATCACGGTGATAAATTTGATAGACTACGATCTATTTGAAGAAGATGCGCTAAGGAGATAAGACTTATCCCGGAGGTATGCTAAGTTCTGATAAACGAAATTACATAACCCCGTAATATAAGAATGCATGAACATTAATTGTGAGAGTACTGCTCGATCGCCTTAAAGATGAAGTAATAACAACAGATCTGGTCAAACACTAGAATATCGAAGGTGTCATGATTCTTGAGTACCGACTACCTCCCATCGCGATGATACTAATTATATTGGCACGTAATTTTAGTTTTTCTTTCGCTTCAACATTGAAGCATCGTCGCCCATTACTAAATTATTTTATTTTAATTTTGCAAAGGCTATATCTAAAACGATAAACCTTGGTGGTTGCCAACTTTTCCGTAACAAACATACTTAAGCAACGACAAATCGTTAGGATTTAGTTTGTTCAACGATCGAATTTAGCATGTAAGTTTGTTATATATAAACCAAAACACATGGGTGTAATAGTCCAAAATAGACTTTTTACACCTTATTTTGCATGTTTGCAATCCAAGAGGAGATTAAAACACAACTCCAAAGTAGATGAAAATGAAACAAATCATCAAACTAGGTATAATAAATTGAATGGCAAATCAGGAATTAGGAGAGCAAATGGAGGGGCAGATTAGGGAGAGAAAAAAAAAATTCAATGATGAGAGATTGGCTAGGGAAGCTGGGTTGCGTGGGTTGAGAGCCGCTCGTGCAGACAATCGATTTCACGCTTTGAACATTGCTAATCATTTTTATTCTTGCAATATTAATAAACTAATAATCCCCTCATTTAACTTAATTAAATTAATTACAGAGCCCCAACACTAAGCCTACCTTCACGCCCTATATTATGGGATAAATAAACAATGCAGTAAAAAAAAAAAAAACAAATCCACTGTCATTTCTAACTACGGTGAAAGTATCTCGAAATCCATGCAACTTTGTTTTTACCTCACCAACCCCTCCAGCCTATAAACCGAGATTATAGCATGTGAAAATGAAAGAGAATGTAAAAACAAATTATAAAATTATACCGGAGATTATTCCGAAAAAGTTAGAGATATAAAATAGGTTAAATACACTTGTATATCCAAAACTTTCACGGTTGTACCAATAATATTCAAATTTCCCGAAATACCACTTATATCCAATTCTTTTCACATTCTTTAACGGTGTTTTTGGATATACAAGTGTAATTAACCAAAAATATATTGGAAAATGGATAGATTTGGCAAAGAACAACTTTAAAACATGGATATAAGTAGTATTCCGGGAAATTTGGATATTATTGGCACAACTGTGAAAGTTTTGGATACACAAGTGTATTAAACCTATAAAGAATTTGGATATGGGCGGAGCTAGCCCTTAACAAGTGAGTTTCATGGCATCCCTTTGATTTGGATAAACCACCAAAAATTAGTAGTATTAATATATTAATAATGAACAAGTAACCCCAAATCTTATGGTTAATGGACAAACTTTAGTATCCAACAACGATCGATTATGTAATTTAATTTTACCTACTAATATCTGCATTAATACAGTTTATCAAGATGGGTATGTACTGCAGATTATTAGATTAAATCATTCACTTTCTATGATATCGATAGTCAAAAGAGAAAAATTGGTTCCCAACAAATGTATGTGCTTCTGAAATTAGGTTTAGTTTGCTACTACGTACCTGTTGTCAATACACCTGTTAGTAGAATACTTTCTGAAATGGAATAGTTGACCACATACGCGGAGCCAAGGGGCCTGGGATGTGTCCAAGGACACCGGTAAATTTTGGATAAAATAAAATACCCAATGTATATATGTATCAATCGAGGATTGAACTTATCTCCTTAAGGCGATATAAGATGTTTTTATCACAACAATACAAGTTATTTCAAGTTTAAAAGCTAACATAAATCAATTTATCGCCCTAAAAACAAAATTCACAATACCTAAAAATCGATCTCTCTGTCTTCTGAAGTAGTTTTGACTAGGGGTGGCTATATGGTCCGGTCCGGTTAAATTGGCCCAAATTGATCCGGTCCAGTCCGGGCTTTTTGAAAATATAAGGACCGAAGATTGGATTGGATACAGTCCAGTCTTGATCCGGTCCGGTTTTGATCCGATCCGGTCCCAATTCGGTCTTGATTTTACATTGAGATTGTGGGATTTGATTGGCCTAAGGCCTTAAAGGGTGAGGAGTTGGTTAAGTTTTGTACTAAGTGCAAAGGTTTGTGACCGTTTATGCAAATTACCCTTAAGTTTTGGGTGTTGAGCTCTCTTATCCGGTTTTTATCCGGTTTTTTACCTCAAATCTAAGCCCAAAGATTGGATTGGATTGTTTACTATCCGGTCTCGGTCCGGGTTATACGGTCCGGTTTCCGGTTTTTAATTCGGTCCCGGTCCAAATAGCGACCCCTAGTTTTGAGACCTGTTGCAACTGCAAGTGTAGAACGAGCATTTTTCAACTTTGAGCTATATTAAGAACAAGTTTCAAAGTCGAATTGCAACCAATTTGCTAATGATTATTTAGTTGGATACATTGAGAGTATGAAAACGTGTCCTGACTCATGATCGATTGTTTATGAAAACAATGATTGTGAATTATTTGAATATTATTAATTTTAATTATCTTTGTTAAATAATGAAATATAAATTTATTTGTATTATGAAAAGAGAACACCAATACTTTCGAATACTGGCTCTGCCACTGGTTGACCAGTCTAATAGAGTGGAACGAAATTGTGAATGATTATATGGTGCTACAACATTAAAAGCACTCTTAATAATTTGAATAATTATGCAGTTTTAAGATAATTTGATAATAGGAAACATAAACTTTATAATGGGTTATTGTTCAAATATTTTACGATACTTGTTTTAGGAGAACGATTTAATTGATTAATTAACATTTTTATACCTTAGTGTTCAAGTCAAGTATTTCGATTTTCGAGGGATGAAAAGGCAGACATTCCTTGGACGAAAACAGACGATGATAAAAGCAAATTAGATTTCCAAGCGCCTTTTCTCCCCTCTGCTTCTGCTTCTGGTTATATATACACTGCACACTCTGCCCCTCCCATTCCCACTAACCCACTTCCCATTCCTTCGAATTCTTCAAACCCATTTCCCGCCACTGGAAGAGCAACCCACAATCAAGAAGAAAGGAAGCCATTATGGAAGGTGGAGCCGGCGGTGGTGATAAGGTGGTGGAGACGGTGATCGCAGGGAATTATGTAGAGATGGAGAGCGAAGGCAAAGTCAGAGACGTGAAAAGCAGAGTCTCCAACTTCCTGTGGCACGGCGGCTCTGTTTACGACGCCTGGTTCAGCTGCGCTTCTAATCAGGTCTCTCCATCATCCCTCACTTTGTTTTTTAACGATACTTCATTGGTTCCCCTGTTTTTTGCATTCCTGCACTGCTGGTGTTTGATGAAATGCTTGAGTGAATCATTTCTCTTATGTTTGTTTTGAACAGGTGGCTCAAGTGCTACTGACCCTGCCCTACTCCTTTTCCCAGCTTGGGATGCTATCCGGGATTATGTTCCAGCTTTTCTACGGCTTGCTGGGGAGCTGGACGGCGTATCTAATTAGTGTTCTCTACGTTGAGTACAGAACCAGAAAGGAAAGGGAGAAGAAAGCGGATTTCAGAAACCATGTCATCCAATGGTTTGAAGTCCTTGATGGGCTGTTGGGGAAGCACTGGAGGAACGTGGGTTTGGCGTTTAACTGCACCTTTCTTCTGTTTGGATCTGTCATTCAGCTCATAGCCTGTGCTAGGTAAAGTACAAACCGGGTGAATTGTTTAATGCTGGGTAGTTTGGTAGTTAGCTGCTGGTGTTAATATTTGTTTATCTATGGGGATTGAACTTAATGTATACTCTATATGGTGAACTTTGGGGTCTCTCTGCAGTAACATATATTACATAAATGACAATCTGGACAAGAGGACATGGACATACATATTCGGAGCCTGCTGTGCCACAACTGTGTTTATTCCATCCTTCCACAATTACAGAATCTGGTCTTTTCTTGGCCTTGTTATGACCACCTACACTGCTTGGTACCTCACCATCGCTTCCATCCTCCATGGCCCTGTAAGCTACATCTTTTATTTATTAATCACCAGTCACACTTTATTACTGCCTTTGTTGTTTAGCTGTCATGTCTATCTACTTCAACTTTGGATCCCTATATGCCCCTGTGAACTGTGATACAACTCAAATGCATGCATGTGTTTATTAATCTGGTTTCTTAGTTTCTTATTTCTTAATCATCTTGTTTGAAGTTCGATCTCATGAGAATACAGCTCAGTTAGTGATTAATCTGCTACTGATTTGTGGGCAAGCCGATAATAAAAAGTGATTTCCTTTGTAGTATATGTAGTTAAGAGTGCGGTGACAAAAGAAAATGAATAAAACGAGGGATGGAAAGCAATACCACCTTCACATGTTGCTTATTGTCTGAATGTATTTTTGTTGGTATGGGATGAACTCAAGATGGAGGGAGTGAAGCACTCGGGGCCAACGAAGATGGTGCTGTATTTCACAGGGGCCACCAACATTCTCTACACATTCGGAGGACATGCTGTTACTGTGTAAGTAAAAACCCCAACATATCACAATCCCCTCCAAATCTTGTATATACTCGATGCTCCATATTCCTGTCCCTTTTAACGTTACTTCCATTCATTCATTTTCTACATGTGAACACATATATGTATTTGTTTTTACAATATTTCTTACTCTAGAAATCCGAGCAGCATAGGGATAATTTACATGACTGAGTAAAGAATACGGGAAAGGGGTTCTTGGTCATGTCAACTTCATTTTGTTTCTGATAGTGACTTTACCTTGACTTACTTAGACATTGCCCTCCTGACCATGGAGTAGTCCCATAAAGCCATGACCAATCCATGTTCCCAAATGTTGGCCTTTTAACCCATATGCATGGAAAATTGCTCTGCTTCCTCCATTATTTTGCTTCTTAGGCGTGGGGTGAGGAGACCCAGAAAGCAGTTTGTCATCAAGAGCTTTCACAGCTTTCCAATGCAGAAAAAAGCCAGTCCTCTTTTTTTCAATCCATTTCTCTCTTTGATGGAAAGGCGCATGGAATATAAGAAACCCTTTTCCTCTCTTCTTCCTAACTTTTGCTTTTATCATGAAAGGGGGGAAATATAATTGAAAGTGGTCTGTTTATGTCTGAACTAATTACCAAGTTACCATAACGTGATAATGCTATAGAGTATATTAGTACAGAGAAGCTTTTCCCCTCCCCAGCTTTTTTGCAGTAGCTGGCAGGTTATAGTATTCATGATTCCAACTAAAAAAGAAGCCTTTTAATCACACTAATCCATCATTAATCATCGACACAATGAAATCCGAAGTTTTGTTTTACTTTTTCTTCTTTTGGGAAGAACGAAAATGAAATCCAACGTTACTGGTAATTACCATGTGCAGGGAGATTATGCATGCGATGTGGAAGCCACAGAAGTTCAAATCCATCTACCTGCTGGCCACTCTTTACGTTCTGACACTCACACTCCCTTCTGCCTCTGCCGTCTACTGGGCCTTCGGCGACGCCCTTCTCAACCACTCCAACGCCTTCTCCCTCCTCCCCAAATCCCCGTTCAGGGACATGGCCGTCGTTCTCATGCTCATCCACCAGGTTCGTTAAACTAAAAAAGTGACAAAGATGCAAACTTTAGCCTCCATCTTATTACGAGGTTGGGAATCTGAATCCGATTTGAGGTGTGTTTTTGGTTTTGTTGTTGGCAGTTCATTACTTTTGGGTTTGCTTGCACGCCGCTCTACTTCGTGTGGGAGAAAGCTATCGGGCTACATGAATGCAAGAGCATGTGCAAGAGAGCGGCGGCGAGGCTGCCGGTGGTGATTCCGATCTGGTTCCTGGCCATCATTTTCCCTTTCTTCGGACCCATCAACTCCGCCGTTGGATCACTGCTTGTTAGCTTCACTGTCTATATCATTCCTGCTCTGGCCCACATCTTCACCTTCAAATCCGCCGCTGCCCGTGAGGTAATGCATATTCTAATTACCCCGTAATATTCTACATTAACAATATGAAATTGTTAATTAGCCTAGTAGTAGTTAAGTAATACGAATGTGATGATCACCAGCTGCACTAGTGCTAACTTTGACCAATTGGACTGGTTGGTCGCTGTTCTAGCAGACCAGACCCGGTTACTTCTCCTAAATCGATATCAACAGCAATAAATTATTACAGCAAGTAGTTTTACATATCAATGGAAACAAGTTGAATATCTTATTCCACAGAACATAGTTTGCCATAACCGTGTAGGAAGTAATGTATGCTGCTGCTATATTTGCATTGGGTGGTAAAAAGGTGAAAAGTGGAAGGGTAAAAGCAATAGGGGCTTTGAATATGTATTGTGCACAATGATTGTGAAACGGTATCGGAAGTTATGTTCGAAAAATTAGTAGTAGGTATTTTGGATTAAATCGTGGTTGAACTGTAGCTCAACCGTTCCATAATGTTAATACTGCCTATCGTTTAAGGTTCAGTATCCGATATTTCTGTTCGGATCGACCGGTTTAAGGTTTAGTATCGTGCATCGTTTGATTGATTTATTGTCTGATGAATGGCTGTGATGCGGTGGTTGCTGCAGAACGCGGTGGAGCAGCCGCCCAAGTGGTTCGGCAGATGGGTCGGGGCGTACGTGATCAACATATTTGTGGTGGTTTGGGTTCTGATAGTCGGGTTCGGGTTCGGCGGTTGGGCCAGCGTGACCAATTTCGTCCGCCAGATTGACACGTTTGGTCTCTTCACCAAGTGCTACCAGTGCCCGCCGCCGCTACCTCTGGCTGGACACCTCAACGCCACCGCGGCGGGAGCAGCTCCGCCGATGTATCACGGCGGCCACAGCAACCACACCCACAACCTCTAGATGGCGTCCGGCGAGAGTTGATTTGTTTAGCTAGAGAATTAGTTGAGAGATCAATCTGTCTCATCTTTGTTGCTCTCTGTCTCTTTGATCATCCATCCATCGTCCTTTGAGAGATGTTGTTGTATCTTCTTTTGTTTCATAGAGGAATTAGTTCCAAAAAGAATGGAAAGAAAGATGAAAGGTGTGGTGTAGGAAGCTTGTGGGAGGGGAAAGTTGGATGTTGTAGTTTGTAATGCTTTGTAGTTGAGCAAATTATGTGAATGAGATGACAAAGTCTTTTGTGCTGTACTAGAAATGCACCAAATTTAAATACTCCATTCGATCTAATGTGTCTTTCCCTCTCAAATTAATGGTATTTGTTTGGTGATTATTAATTAATTAATATATAAAAGCGTAATATGGAAGTTATTATTCCTTAGTGGCTCTCACACTCCTTCAAGTGCAAGTGGTAAAATTCCAAGTAATTGTTTTACCCCACTCTCCGTTCTACAACCTTTGTGTTTAGTTATTGTTTGCTATGTTTTCGTCTACACTTTTTTGCACAAATCATCGCCTTTGTGTTTTGTTATTGTTCAATAGATTTTCGTCTATAGTTTTTTGCACAAATCATCGCCTTTGTGTTTAGTTATTTTTCGCTAGATTTTCGTATATGGCTTTTTGCACAAATCATTACCTTTGTGTTTAGTTATTATTCGCTAGGTTTTCGCCTAAGGCTTTTTGCACAAATCAACGCCTTTGCCCACCATTTTGCAGCCCATCTCGAAATATTGTCGGCGGGATCCTAAGTTGTTCCCCATCACTGTTTTTCAAAGCCGCTGCCATGAGTTTTTTATCGGGACCGAGTTTCATCCTCGTGTTTTTTCTTTTCTTCCTTTTTGTTGAGTAAGACAAACACAAGGGTATTCTATCTTGAACATAAATCATCGCCTTTGCCCATCATTTTGCATCTCATCTCGAAATACTGTCGGCAGAATCATAAGTTGTTCCCCACCATCGTTTTCCAAGGCCGTTACCACGAGTTTTGTATCTGGACCGAGTTTCATCCTCTTTAGTGTTTTTTTTTCTTTTTTCTTTTCATTTTGTTGAGCATGATCATAATTGAACCCAAACACATGGGTATCCTAACTTGAACACAAATCATCTCCTTTGCCCACCATTTTGCAGCTCATCTCAAAATATTGTCGGCGGAATCTTAAATTGTTCCCCACCATCGTTTCCCAAGGCCCTTACCGCGAGTTTTGTATCGGGACCGAGTTTCATCCTCTTTAGTTTTTTTGTCTTTCTCTTTTTCCTTTCTTGTTGAGCATGATTACAATTGAAACCAGTGCCGCTACCGAAAATCCATACCATATCTACTCACTTTTGGCGAGTTTTGTATGGGGACTGAGTTTTGTTCTCTTTAGAGTTTTTTCTCTCACTTTTTCCTTTTTGTTGAGCATGATCACAATTGAAACCAAATCCATGGGTATCCAACCTAATTTGATCCGATCAAAGCGACTTGAAACAGACTTTAACATTTATAAATATTTCTTTTTTCTTCTTTTGGTTGGGAAGACAATTGAACCCGAATCTAAGGTTTTGACGAGTGTTATATTGTGAGCGATTTTTATCCGCTTTTGTAGTTTGTAGGTTGGACCAATTGTTAATTTTTTAAAAAATTGTTCAAAACTAGTTGAACACATTGTTGAACAGTTTTAGATCGAAAGCGAGTTTTGTATGCTTTAATATTTTTTTATTTCTCATTTTCCTTTTCGTTGAGAAAGACAATTGAACTCTGACCCATTGTTGACGCGTTTTGTATCGAGAGAGAGTTTTATCTTCTTTTGTAATTGTCAAGTTGGGTAAATTGTGAATTTGTTAGATCGACCTGGTCAAAGCGAGTTGAACGTAGTGTAGAGAGTTTGGGGTCATAAGCGAGTTTGAAGCGTCATGAAAGAAGTTTAAACATAAAATAATATATTCGACAACCCTTCTACCTTATGCAAGTTCATCAATCATATGCTATTGTAAATAACAAACCTATGAAAAGAATGATTAAGAATGAAATAAGATTACTTTCACTTTTGGGTCAACATTAAAACTATTACTCATTAAAATATTTATTTTCTAATTTGCGAAGCGATAGCGAGCGGATTTTCGCTAGTACTAATAAAAAAGTCTGAAATTAGGTCAATAGTGAATAAAAATCCATTGAATCATTCATGTTATGCTCTTTTATGTCTCAAGTCTTTTTCCCCTTCCATTTAGCTTATGTTCTTCATGTTGCACTTAGATAGAATAACTCTATGAACTTATATTGACTATTCTATATATATATATATAAAAGATAGGATAGGAAAAATCTTCATGATTCCACTAGAAAGCAACAGCTTTAGTGGGAAGGTTGGTCTGGAATGTAGTTGTAAGTTTGGTATGGCGCGAAAGATGCTCAAGGATGCATGGGGAACAAGGTAAACCGAATGGTGAGATAGTAAGGACGGTTAGAAGGCTAATTAAATTAGCTAGAATTGGCAATGTAAATCTTCATTATGATTGTATCAAGGTGTTTTTGTAGTATGTTAGAGTATTAGTGGAGTAGAGATAGATAGTAGTTAGTACACAATAGTAGTTTCTGCAGAATCTGCAGCATCTTGTAAATGATTAAGAATGCTTCCACCTAGTTAAAGGTGGATAGCATTGAGCTTCAATAAAAAAAAAATTGATATTGCCCATAAAAAACATTTAAAATTAAGTACCACTTCTTAAATTAAATGTGAATGATCGGTTCTTATCTCCTTTAACACAATAGATGCCTTTGTTTCTATTGGTGCTCGAAACAATTTTCTTTTCCCCATATTACTCTATCTCTATGATTAGCTTGAAAGAGAATCTCTAAGATAACATTTCAAATGTGTTTGGACGATCTTCTTTACAAATTGTATTCATCTTTTCATAAGAAAAAAATATCCATATAAGAAATAAGATAGAACTTGAATTTATATTAATCAACGAAACCATTGTCTTGTCGAGATAAATCCACACTTTATATTCACAATTTTCACAATTTAATAATCGCAAACATCAATTTCATAATGTTTATAAATTTCAAAATCATAATTTAGAGTGTTAGATTCGTCAACATGCTCATTGTTATCCAATCAAAACTCTTTTACCCCACAGTTCAATTGTTGCCATCCCATTATATTGTCAACCCACCCCAGCCAAAAGCCCAAAAACCACAAATGATGACTAATCCCAAGTTACATCCTGTAGAAATCATAGTCGCCATTGCCAATGTTGCTTTTGACATGGAAAATGACACATCAAAACACACACACTAGCTAGCTAGCTTGACAGTAACAAAACCTCCCCAAACTGGAAAAAGCCCCCAGCCACAGTTCCCTTTTTCCCTTCTCCCAAATGCCCAAATTCCCACAATCACAAGGGCCGAGAGTTCGAGAGCACTGAAGAACAGCAGCAGCCGATTATGATAAAAGCAAGCTGCAGGCGGCCGGATAAAGCCCATTAAAGACGAAAAGGAAGCAACAAGGTTTGAGGGGGAAAAAACACACAGTAAAAAGACAGAAGATTGATGCAGTAGTGAAAATGATGAGTGCAAAACTTGCTTCTTTCTACTGGGTATGGGAATCTGGATGCCTGGCCTGAAACAACCATGGAATAGCAAAACAGCAGTAGCAGTAAAAATCCTTTTTTTTTAGTGCGTATGGGAATCTAATCATGCATTTACCACCAGCTGCTGCCCTCTATGCCCTTTAGCTATCATGAGATGAAGGCCTGGAGAATGGAGATTGATTCTTTTGCTAGCTGCATCAGTTGTGTTTTTTACCTGCTGAAACAAAAGGCGCCATGGGTAAGAAAAAAAAGGGTTCTTTGTAGAGATCAGTGGGTACAGCAGTCACGAGATTACCCATTTCTTCACTTTCTTTCTTTTGTATGCTATGGATTCAAGTAAGGGAGATGGAGTTCCACACTTTGTTTGTTCGATGGTGACTACTTGAGCAAAAAGAGAACTGCAACCACCTTCCTTTTGGGTAATTAACATAAAAGGTCACAAACCTTTACATTTAGTACAAAACGGTAACAAATCTTTAATTTATAAAAAATCGGTAACAAAAATTTGAGCAAATATCAAAATGGTAATTCCGTCACTTTCCATCCGAATTTCCGTCTCCTTTACTTAGTTAGCATTCCACAAATCCAAGATATTAATAAAAAGATTTACCCAACTCATCGGTCCACCCCCACCCAAACCGTAAGATCCACCCACCTCTTGATTTTGGAAATAAATCCCTCTCATACCCGATTCCCATCACCCATACCAAGGGTTGTCACGCCGGCCGGCGTGACACCGGTTGTACCTGGTTCAACCTGTACCGGTCATAAAACCGGCGTGACACCACCGGTATGACCGGCATGATCGATATACGAATCTCTAAGTAAAATAATCTTATTTTAGTGACTTTAATTGTTAAAAATTATTTTATTATTTATTTTATGAGTATAAATGTTAAATATTGATGTTATTTGTTGGGTTCAAGTATAAATGTTTAGGTATTGACGTTAAATGTCATGTTTAAAATGAGTATTTATAATTTAATTTGTATTATTGACCGGCATGAACCGGCACAAACCGGTATGTGCCACCGGTCGAACCATTCCACTTGCTAAACCGGCACACTGGCATAAACCGGTTTGACAACCTTGCCCATACCCAATCCCCTTCGCTCTCAAAAGAGAAGGAATTGGCTGGAGGCTCAAGATTTGGGTGGTTGCTGTCCAATGGCGGATCCAGGGGTGGCCACCCCAGGCCCCGGCCCAGCCCTCCTCTGGATCCATAATTAGTATAGGCCTTATGAATTTTTCGATTTTAGATATTCGGGTCGTTGTTATTTTAAAATAAGATTGAGTATAATTAGAAAAATAATTCAGATGAACATATTCAAAATCACTACTCTCAATTTAGCTTATAAATTCTAACCCCAAAGGTTATTCATCTAAAAAAATAATGAAACCTAAAAATTCAAAAAGTTTAAAACATAAAAGACTAAAAACATATATGAGGTTTGTTACCTTAAAAATTTACTAGAGCAGCGAGTGGATATAGGGATCGAAACACAATGCAAATTGATTAGTAGATTGATTTGTCTAGTGTTGATGCTGCTCGTTTCAACAGCTAATACGAAGAGAACCTTTTCAATAACGAAACATGTGAAAATTGATTTGCGCAACAAAATGAGCGATGAATTTCTAGTCGATTGCTCAAGTACTTTATTTGAAACAATGTATACTATTGGTATGGATGTGGACTCCACTATTAATGCATTCGCTAAATTAAAATACCGCTGTGTACAATTTACATTGTAAAAAAATTATAATCATGATATTTTGTTACTATTCTAATTTTTTAATAAAATGCAGCCCAGTGCACTTCTGTGTTCTGGATCCGCCGTTGTTGCTGTCCCAAATTCATTGTTCAAACCCATGGAAGTGGTAGAGATTTTCTTGTTTCTTTGCCTCACGCTAGTTCTTCTGCGATCCACACAAGCAGAGCAGCAGAGGAGTGATAGATCGGAGCTCCTCACGCATCGATGTCATCTCGGGCCTCGGCACTCGTCCCCTGGGACCATCTTTCTCGACGGTGACGACTGGTCGCGCAGAGGAACTGAAAACCGAACCCGAACCTGACAAAGGAATTTTCGGGTTTCCGGTACCCGGAACCCAAAAAGTCCTTATCGGATTCGGGTTCGGGCTTGGTTAAAGCAAAACCAAAACCTGAATACCCGAACGCCTAAGAATACGGGCTGAGTGCTAATTCTTGGATGTTTTCAGTCGAAACCCGTAAAACCGATAAGCAAAATCGAACGCGAAACCCGAAACCGAAACAATTCCAAACTCGAAAAACCGAAAATGTATCTAATCAGATGGATTTCGGGTAAACCTGGAAAACCGAAGCCAAATGGACACCCCTAACCAAGATACAAGCCCAGAAGTAGGGGTGTACATGGGTCGGGTGGTCCGGGTTTAGGCATTTTAATCACCCGACCCATGCACTACGGTTTGGGAAATATTAAACCCAAACCCACCCACAAAAATCTAAACCCTACGGTTTGTTTCTAATTGGGTTGGGTCGGGTTGACGATATTTTTAAGTAAAAACCCAACCCAACACAAAATATGTAATTATTCTACATCATAAAAATATTTTATAACAAATTAAAAATTCAAACGAATAAACCGAGGTGAAAGGTATCAAAATTCACAAATATTGTTTGAATTTTAATAAAACTTGATTTACTTCAACTTATGTCTAGTTTTTTTCATGACATTTGTTGAAATAGGCTAAAAAGGTTACAAATGAACGCAATCATAATATGATATTCTTTTAAAATTGTACACAAGAAAAAAAAATTACGTGAATCATAGCTATATTAAATATATGTCTAAACTTTAAGTCGAAGAATGCATTAGATTAGTGAGACTTTAAGAGAAAAACATGGCGAAATATCTTAATTTTCTCATAAGTATGACTATATACGACATAAATATTTTTTTGGATACGAACTCATACCAATAATTGAAACACGGGTTGGGTCGGGTTCTACGGGTTGTGTAATCTAAAATCCAAACCCAACCCAAAAGAGGCGGGTTGTACAAAAGAAAACCCTCACCCAACCCAAAACCTTCGATTTAACGATAAATACGGGTGGGTTGGGTCGGGTTGGACGGGTGGATCGGTTTGCGGGTGTGTTTGTTCACCCTACCCAGAAGAATGAGGCTCCTCCTCTGACCCAAGTACAAAGCCAGGTGTTTTTCTTGAACAGGTGGACCACGTCATCTATCAACAGCCATGAGTTAATAGAGTTCCCCCTAACTGTATCACTAATCATCAGATGTACTAAACTTGTTTTGGGCCCATTTCCCATTTTAATACTGGGCTTATGGCCCGTTAGAATGTGGGCAGAACTGCAGCTTGGTAGCAAAAAAACAAGTGCCTAGTGCCCTAGTGGTAGATTAGCAGCATCAATGCGTGTGCTAGCTTAGAATATAATTCCAAGTCTCGATTTCCAACACCTGTAATTACTAATTAGCACTCGAAATCTACAACTTCCCAATAGATAACCGCCCCACTAGAATATCAAACAAACCAATCAGTGAAAAGCCAGTCTTTTTCAATTCAGTATTGCAGAAATCCTTCCCAGTCAAACAACAGTATTCCCCAAACAACTCTTCAAACCAAAGCTTGTCCTCCATCAATGGTACACAAGGCTCAAAACCGTTACTCAAATCCAGCAGGGGAAAGAAGAAGAAAAAAAAAAGCTCATCATTCCAACTCACGCCATCCATCCAACAGATACAAACAAAGCAAAAGCAACAGTTGAATGAATCAATGACAAAGAGTAACGTCTAAGCACAAGCAGAAACAGATGATCACAGCTTGGAATGCATGCAAGCAAGATATCCATGATCAACCAAACCCAAAAACTGACCAACGAAACTAACCACAAACAAAAAAAGATCTTCAGACATTTCAATGAACCAGTCAAAGGGGAGGGGGGAAATGCCATGATGGCATGATCTCAGCTTTCTCTGGCAGCAAGCAACCTACCAATTCCTGTCACAAGATCACACCTTTATGGCTAGAGTTAGACTGGTCTAATCCCCCTCACCAAATCTCTCATCACAGTACATATCACATGATCTAAACCAGTCAAAAACCAAATCCTAACAGCATTATCCACTGGCAAAAACCATGACAGCATGAAAAAAAAAAAAAAAAGATATGGATTTGCAAGACAGAAGGGGTATACAGTTACATGGTCCCTCACATTGGAAAACCAGGGTGGTTGGTGGTCTTGGAGAAAACAGGGAGCATGTATAATTGGGTATGCTCTCCTTTTCTTGTGGGGAACCCATAACCATAACCAATTCAAGAACAACATCCAAAACTGCAAAAGGGCAACCAGAAAAAAGCAGAGCTCCAAATAGCAATGCTTGCACTCGCACAAACAATGAGTCACAACACACAGGCTGGCTACTACTCCAAACAGAAGCTGATATAAATGGAGCTGTGGAAAAGCAACAATGAAAAGGACAAGCATAATAAAGGAAACCAATCCCACAAGTCATTGTCGATTAGTAAATGAGACGATGACCCATTATTCCAACCAACAGGATATGAGAGCCAGAACCCATTAAACAGCTTTGTAAATAAGCAAGCAAGCATCAGATGCTGGAATCAACAGCAGGCAAGCAAATCACGAACAGTTTAATATAAGTCGAGCAAGTAAAGAGTGGACTGAACAAGCATGTATCCATCCCCATATATATAGAATCTGTGTATGAAAACACTTCGGAACGAGAACAGTTTGAGAGTTTCACAATCCAACACAAACATATGACTTCTCATCAAATCCATTGCTGCTGTTGCTCTCTCTACTGCCTAAACCTAACAAAAGCTATCACCATCACATAGAGACCTTTAAGAGGCCTCTAAGAGAGCAAGAGCATCCAAAACCAAAAGAACAAACCATTGATACCAAACATCCATGAACACTAAACAGAGAGGACACAAACTTCACCATACTAGATAATCCGAAAACATAAAAGAGAACAACGAAGCCAATCACCAACGACACAGCTCAAATAGCAGAGATCTGTTGAGATGTGAAATCGCTTCCACACATCGCAGACCCAAAAACCCATCAGAGGATTGAGAGATCAGCGCCCGCCGCCACCGCCGCTGTTGGGACACTCCCTGGCGAAATGCCCGCTCCCACCACAGTTGTAGCAGCCGCCTCCGCCGCCGCCACCGCCACCGCCTCCTCCATACCTGCCTCCGCCGCCGCCGCCTCCGCTGGGACAGTCCCTGGCCATGTGTCCAGCCTCGCCGCAAGAGAAGCACCCACCGCCGCCACCTCCACGACCACCCCTGCCACCACCGCCTCCGTAGCCACCACCACCGTACCCACCTCCGCCACCATAACCTCCTCCTCCACCGTAGCCTCCTCCGCCGTATCCACCTCCTCCGCGGCCTCCCCTGCCACCGCCGCCTCCGTATCCACCGCCTCCTCCGCTGCCGCCGCTGGGGCCGCCCTGGACGGGAGCGCCGTTGGGGCCGGTCACGTCGATCGCCTTGGTGCGGCCGTCGTTGGAGCTCTCGATCTGGTACTCGACCTCCTCATTCTCCCCGAGGCTGCGGAAGCCCTCGGCCCGAATGGAGGTCTGGTGGACGAAGAGATCTTCGTCGCCGTTGTCGGGGGTGATGAACCCGTAGCCCTTCTGGTCGTTGAACCACTTCACCTTGCCGGTAAGCCGATCGCTGCTCATCTTCTTCGCCGCCGCCGATCGCAAACTCAACAAACAGAGAGAGGAAGAGAAAACCCTAAATCCCCAAAAATATCAGAGAAAGGGTTTTCGGTTTTTCTTCTCCTTGTGGAGAGAGTTGGGAGAGAAGAGAAGAATATAAAGGAAAGGGTTTCGGTGCCACGTCGGCATGGTGCGAGGAAGGCGTATATCGTGTGTGAGAGGGAATCGAATCGCCGGCTGCGGATTTTTCGATCGGACGGCGAAGGATTGGGGAGGAGTTGATCTGGGCCGTCGGATGGGGGAAGGCGTGGGGCCGCGTTTAGCGGGGGAGGTGGGGCCCGGGGAAGGTAAATAACCTGTTGAAAAGACAATCCTGTCCATTGAGATTTTAATATTACGAAAAGTTTCTCTTTTGTTTTTTTTTTTTTCTTTTTGGGATTTTTCTCGATTTATTAAGGTTTATTATTGGGCTTTTGGACTTTTGGGGGGATTTTAATTTTATATTGTGTTTAATTTTGGATTAGGGTTTTGTAGATTTTAAGGAGAGAGAGAGAGAGAAGGATGGAGGACTGGTCAAAGGGACAGTCAAAGCATCTGTACGATTGGACTCGTCAATGCAATCTGTCCTTCGTTTGGGCCTTGGAATGGAGCAAAGGGCCGAGTGGAGTTCTTTGTTCTGTTCTTATCCCAAAAGCTTTATTTGAAAAAAGAAAAAGAAAAATTCAGAAGGCCACTAGTTCATGAGGAAAATTTGCTCAAAGGCTATGATCAATCAAGGAGGTGGGTATTGGTTTTACTTTTTATGCAATTTTAATCCTCAAATTGGTTGATGAATTGGAGTTTATAACAATAGTTCTAAAAATAGAGTTTGATACGAATGCATCGAGTTATTCAATATCAAGTCGATCACTCGTTTTTATCTAAATTTATTTAGTAGTGAATTGTCAATCGTTTTATTGTATGTGAGATGTATGTTCGTCTCGTTATACTTTATCGCAATAACAACTCTTAAGATTGTGATGTACTATAGGATGTCACATTAGTTTGGTCAAGTTGTGAGTTTTTGAAAAAATAGATTATGATTCGAGTTCGTAGAGAAGTATTTAAAACGTAGATTGTTTGATTGGTAAACTATTATAAATACTTATTAATAGACATGTGAGAGAATATGATTTTTTAACAAAATTATATAAAATATTAAAAAGGGAAGAATTATTATTCTCACTTATCAAGCTTTTGCAAAAAAAAATAATAATCAAAATTTGAATAAAAGAATGATTTTTGGAAATTTTAGTTACTTACCTATTATCGTTTAGAGTTTGGTGATAATATTATGGAGATTAATAGAGTATCAAAATCGAATATCTTCGTATAATTATCCATAAAATTTTACCAAAACGAAATTTCCATCCTAGGATACACAAATTATATGGCCATTTTCTTATAACTTAGAGCAAATCCCATCTGATATTCACGCACAGGATCATATACCATTTACCGTGTTCATATTTGCCTATTTGGTATGAAAAATCATTTTTTCCCCAATTTGAAAATTGAAATTAATGAAAGTAATATTTTTCTTAAATATGGAAATTGAACTTAACGGCAAGATATAATTGTTCAATGGCCGAGGAAGAGGAATTGGGCTCGAAAAATTTGGTCAAACTGTACTAGTTGGTTTGGACGACAGCAGAGGGCAAAAAGCCCAAAAAGCTGCAAACTCCAATGGGCAGGGGGCCTGGCACTGGACCCTCCAAAAAACTGCTAATTCCACAAATTCATAATTCTGACTTATCTTTTTCCCTATTGAGGGAACACTAGATTGGAACTAAAAACATGATGTTATTAATACCGGAATAAATATTAACTAGCCTAAATATTTTAACAAAATGTTCCCTAAATTTTGTAATTCACAACAAAGACAATCATGTCGTCTCCACTCTGATTATTTTTTTTTTTAGCATGTCGAATTAAAACTCTTAGGATTACCAAAACCACGTAAGCAGCATCTCATACATCCGCTCAATTGAACCTTGACTTGAACACTTGATTCCCCACCAGACCACCACACCAGCAAACCCACGAGCCCCACTATTGATCCAATCCGGCCAGCCAGCACATCCTCTCGCGATGCAATGACTTGAATGGGACAGTAGAGTCGGAGGGACTGATCGCGTTGTTTTCACTAACATACTAATGAAGGCGCTCAAATACGAGATTTGTGCGATCGGTCATGCGTGATCCCCCTCAAGTTAGAAACATAGGGGGGACCATTGAATTGAGTTCTTACACTTTCATCTCTACGTTGACGAAACTTGTAAAATTCACATGGTAGTAAAAGCAAAATGCAGAAAAAAATAGTTGATCACTGCGACTCGAGTTGTTTAAAAATGTTCGATACTGGATCTAATACCCCATACGAACACCCCCCCCCCCCCCTCATTTAAACGAAAGCCCGCTCATATTGGCTTGAAGTACGCACAGTCATCAAACGCCATGTACTTATCAATGAGAATCGACGGGATTCGAACCGAAGACCGCTCGGTCACAGAAAACTCCGATAACATTGCCAAGCACCTGTTGATACCTACGATTTGAGTTGTTGCAGCTTAAAAGAGTTTCAATAATTCATCTCATACCACACATATGTAGTATCTTTGCTGGGCCATTGCTACCGGTGTTCTTGGTATTGAATGCAGGACAACCAACACACACAACAACAAGAGCAGGGATAAAAAGGAAGTTGTAGGATAGGAACCAGAAGAAAGGTACGAAGTAATGGTGGTAGGAGAGGACCACAAACAAAGGGCAAATAATTGAATGTGGTGGTGGTGGTGTTTTCCAGAAATGGCTAAAAGGAATAGGATGCAACAACAGAATGCTAGTTACATAGTTGACCACTTTAGATGATAATTTGGTTTTTTTTTACCTAAGAAACTAGCAGATAGAGAAATTGCAGTCTCTCATTTATGGCTCTGTGGGCACACAGCTGTTCTTGGTACTTCTGATTCAATCAATTTTTTCCCTCCGTGGCCATGACCTAGCTAGCTAGCTAGGTGCCCTCGCCAATCTCATTCATTGCTTCTCAACAACCCAATGAGGTTGCAGTCTCCAGCCTAGGTCGACTCCACCATGGTAAAATTGGTGTATGTGAATGTGAGCATAGTTATTTATTCATCGGTGCGTGGAGTAGTAACCAGGTGTACCGGAAAAAGTTACAGGTAGGGTATTTTATGTTAAAACCGTAATTTGACCTTTTCATGTTGCTAAGTAGTTTCGGATTGTATAGTACTATGTTATCATAAAGACTAATAACATTCCTAAATTAAAAAAAAAAAATTGAAACAAACATATTTCCATAGAGACTAACATCTATAAAGTATCTATATTGTTAGAACTATATTATGTAAAATAGTAATACCGTCGATAGATTATACATATTGTTAAGGCTCGACACAAACGACGTTTTGATTTCTGAATGCAGGTCCGACGGAAAGCTAGTTGGGTAGAAGCGAGTCAAAGCCACATCCGACCCGACATGACAGGTCAAATCGGGTTGGGATACTCATAAATCCGGGTTCATTTGCTATCCCGGTTAGCTCCCGTCCCAGTTCCCACTTCGGGCACTTCCCACCAGTCGCTAAAAATTATATGCTTCAGCAGGGCCGGCCAAGAGGGTGTGCTGGCCCGCCCTCCGGCACAGGGCCTCAGAATATTAGGGGTCTCTACTTAGATTCGTTAGTACCAATCGTATATTGTATGTTGTATTTTTAGTGTATGATTGATTGATTATGAGTATGATGATGTGTTTAATAGATAATTTTAGCTATAATAACAATTGAAAAGGATTCATGGAGAATACGAAAATCTGAAAAGTAATAGATAATTTTAATTTAATCAATATAGAAAGATGTTACATTTTGAATAATGTTATTATAATTATTTTAGTTTTATTATAGTTAAAGGCCGATTTGGACCACGTCTAGATTTTGAAATAGGGTCTCCACGATCTAGTAGACAACCCTGCACCCACCTCTCGATCAATTTAAACTATTTTCATTTCTCCATTCAATTTTTGCGCTATATCCATTTTCTCTTTCTTCCAGATTTACTTTCCTCCCTATTAGGGCTAGGAATTCGGTCTTGGTTTCTAGGTCAAACTGGAAACGAGATCGTTTATTCTTGATGTAATCTTTTTCTGAACTTAAGTATTTTTTACAATTATTTACTAATTTTTAATTTTAATAAATTTATGGGAAAAAATTAGGGTCACATTTTAAATTTTCGAACAGGGCCTCCAAATATCATGGGACGGCCCTGTGCTTCAGTGACTGCCCATTCTCAGTACAGAATGCATAAGTAATTGAAGTTTTTTGTTGGGCCTACCCAAGGCCAAGCCCATCCTTGGTGTGGTCGATTGTCTCGATTCATCAAAAGGCCAGGTCGGCCTGTTTTCGAAACCAAAATAAAAGCCCACAAGTTAGAAAAACAGACAAATGGGCTCTCATGGCGGATGAATTGGCGTAAGGAGAGGTCGGCTTCACATTGATGTTTTGGTTCGGTTTCGACCGAATTGAAATTATGAATACCTGGTCCCCGAATTCTCTCAAACATTAAACCAAATTCGAACCGAATTATAATTCGGTTCGGTCGGTTTAAACCGAATTATAATTCGGGTTGGTTCGGTTTTTCACCCAAAACCGAATTTGTGAAGCTACTTGTATTTTCTCACTTTTAAATTATTTTTCACCCCTAATATAAACAATAAATATCAATTATATGCATCATCAATGATAAAATCAAACTTTTCAACACATAAGTCATAAAACATTTCAAATATTTAAGTCTAAAAACAACTATAATCATCAAAATCCACCATTTGAAGCTTGCAATTATAGTATTTCGGTTTTTCGGTCGAAAATTCGGTTCGGTTGAAAGAACCCTGATTTCTGAACTATCCATATTTTCCTTCTGAATTCCGAACCGAATAGCATTAATTAGGTTTCGGTTCGGTTCGAATTTACCGAACCGTTTGTCCAGCCCTAAATCAAACTGATAAAGACGAATAGAAATTGCAATAAGTTAGACTTGGAGACTTTGAGTGACGAGTGTTGTTTGTTCAGCAAGAATTGCATACTTTTCTTCAAGTATGGTATAGATGCTCTCCCCCCATTAGTTGAAGTTCTCACTTATAAATTTGTTCACTAAATTAATTCAGTTTTAAATTTTAAGTAACAAATGACATAACCTAATATATGAGGTGATTTTATTTATAAAAGAAATTATCAAAATTAACGTTGATGTACGAATCTTTGAAAGTCAATTCTCGGGTTTTGGTGTGGTTAAATTATTAGAGATGAAAAATGAGACTTTTGTTTGGCTGGGGTAAAGCGAACCAGACGACACTGGTTACCAACGAAATCTGCTGAAACTATTGTGTCGTGGTTTAAGGTGAAAATGACGATTAAGTTCCCGTTCTTACTTGGGGAAGTCAAGTTAGATTGTCTTCTCTTTATCCGCCTCTTACAGGAGATATCAGATTCATATAGAGAAATCTGGACTGAGCCGACAAATGTGGGTGAACTGAGTTTTATTTTCGCATGCTAGAATTCAAACAAACCGAACTATCTAATGAAATTATCCAACTCTTTTATATTAAAAGAGGGAATTCAGCTATCTAGAAAATAAGAAATATATCTCTCTTATTATATTAATCTAAAGATTCCTACTTGCATTAGCATCTCTAACCACATTTCTGGGTACAAAGTTTTTGTGTTTTTTTTTTCAAATACTAATACACATAGTTATACTAATTAGCTATTTTCTAATAATTTATGGTTTAGGTATTCTAGGGAGGAAACTTTTATCCTTTTAATCATTAACAATAGGGAGGTATGCATCAACTTTATTTTAGCTAGGTTTATAAAAAATATTACAATGTACAAAAATTTGAATCAATCACTTAATGACCAGATCAAGGATCACTACCCCACGTATCATTCTTAATCAAGGGTAAGAGTGCCCTTTAGCACTATGATTTTCACACAAAACAAAAAGGACTAGATAAAGGAGAGCACCTTGACATATTGTCGAGTTCCTTGAATTAAGATAAACAAAAATTATCCACTGATCAAACATCTTCAATAATAAATTCTATGATATATTAAGTCAATGGTCAATAAGCATTGATTGATTGAGGGTTACTCCGAATTTTAAGAATCACAATTTAATATATATTATATAAGATAATAAATTCCAGTATTGTGTTTGAGAAATCATTTCATAACTTAGTTACTTAGGATTTTGAGAATCTTCGATTAACAGATATTATATAAAGATAATAAATACGAATATTATGATTGAGAATTGTATCATAAATTATTACGTCTAGAGTTTATAAAGTTACACCGTGAGTGTGAGTCTAGACTAGATAATTGAACACTCTTTAATGGGTAATATGATATATGCGGAACATTTTCAGCATAAACCTATAATAGACATAACAAAAATCAATAATAAATTGATTAAACCTATTAACTCAACAATATATATATATGGCGAGTTCTACGGTACCCTGGGTAAAATCTGGGGTACCGCATACCTTGAGTATGAAAACACTATCTAGACCTTGTATTGAACGATCTTTCGGACATGATACTATACTCTAGCTCTTAAAGATCAAAATCTAGGTCTTAATTCTCCCAATCTTATACTCCAAGATCAATTTAATTAGAAACAATAATCGACGGTTATGATTCGTCCAAATATAGGCACAAAAAGGAATGCACCATCTTAGGTTTTATAGATTATGATTTAGATAGTTAGGACCTAGGGTTCACTCATTAAGGGTTAGGGTATAGTATCAGACCCAAAAATCCTGCTAATTCGAGGTCTAGATACCGTTTCCAAACTCAAGGTATGCGGTACCCCGGATTTCACTCGGGGTACAGTAGAAGGCACCATATATATATATATATATTTCATGCATTAATCATTAAGAAAATATTGATTGTAGGTTGAGTATTTTTTATGTATACAACTATATAATTGGCAAATGTTTGATGTAAAACAAATAAATAATAAAATTTTCCAAAAAATAATATAACGGTCAAATCATTAACTTTCTATCAGGTCAATAACAATTGACTATGAAGTAGTCAATTCGTGCTGAAGGAAAAAGTCAATTGTTTTTCAACCTCAGGTCGATATATATTCATTTTAATTAATCATTATTATTCAATAAAATAAAATAAAAGCATATACAACCACATTTTCTAGCCACATTTTCATGCAATGCAACAAGCGTCTAGATGAAATAAATTACTTTTTTGTGGTAGAAGGATAGACGCAAATTAAGTCCTATATCATATTAGAAACTCTTTGTTGAGTAATACCCATAACATCATAGGAGATCCACAATCTAAACTCTGGGTAGCATACATCAAAATGATGTGTGCCAAAAGAAAAGTCATGACCCTTTCTAACAAGAAAATCAGCAGCAAAATTTCCCTCTCTAAAAACATGGTTGATCTTCACCTCCCAATCAAGGTTCAAAAGTCTATTAATTTCCAATGCGAGCAATCCATGTCGATGGTTGCTTTCCTCGCTATTGTTGATAATGGCAAGCTGTATTGGAGTCCAGGTTAAGCATAACCTTTTGTATTCTTTTTAACCATAAGCTTTGAAGGAAATTACTTGAAAGCAATGACAACAACAGCCCCCGAAGTAGCTCTAGGTTAAAGCTACTACTTGGACAAGCTTGATTGAGTGAATTGAAATTCGAATTGAGCAGACTTTTTATATCTTCCATCACAAACAGAGACGATAGGACCGATAGAAGTTGCGGTTGCAATGACGTCAGTGAACTAGAGTATTCCATATGTTGACATGAAATAGAGGGTTCCTTTGAATCGATCAAAGCAGCGAGAGAAAGTAGCCAAAACTAAACTTACTCAAATGTGTGAAAACACATAATGAAAATGAAATGTGGTTTGATTAGGTGTTTTAGAAGTCTAGTTTCCTTATTAGAGTCCTATAGTTTTTAATTTCAATAAACACTTTCATAGCTGATTCGATTTCATTATTGGAGAACTCTATGTTACACTAATTTTTCCAGTAATTAGTCTCAGATAATAAATTATTTACTTTGTTAATATTTTTATGTATTCATACTACTCAAGTAAACATGAAAAGAATGTAACTTTGGGAGATATATATTAGTAATCATAAACAATATTCATAATAAAAAATTTAAATTTTAATAATTATCATTAATTCCAAATGGTCAACTAGGCCGGACAATATTATATGAAGTCTAAAATAAATTTCGCAATGATTTGTAAAATAAAGTGTAACAAGATAAATTTTGTAGGAGTTGGCTTATTTGCATCATCACTTTTTATTTTCACATTATTGGATGACTCAGTTAGAATGTTGAATTTTGTTTAGATATATTTTCATTTCCTATATTTCAGTAACTTAAAAAGTGAATTTTACATGTACTATTAAAAATGTATATTAATTTGCACAATTGTTTTGTTTATATCATTAACTAAATGCATCCAACAAACGGGCGGACCCAAATCTAGTCACAATAACAATTCATATATAATGGTGTTATACTATCATAATATCGTATAACCACAAGTCCACAACAATTTATCACCATTGAATCTTTGTGATAAGAGAGGACGAATTCCTTGTGGTAAATAGAGAGATACGTGATAAGGAAACAACGTAAGGAGTTGGTCCGTTGGATTGCTCGTCAACAACCACTTCTTGACCCGTCTCCATCAAAACCCACAGTACCAAGTACACAGAAATTACCATAACTGTTAGACATATAATTAGTATAATAATAATAATAATAATAATAATTAATAATGTTAGGTTTTGGCGGCTAACCTAGGCCGATTAGGTTAGGTAGGGTTTTGGGTTTATTTCCTATAAATATGTATCTTGGGGTTACATCATAATCAATCAAGAAGAATATTAAGCAAGTATCTCTCCTAAACCCTAATCTCTCTCAACTCTTAATTTCTCATCTCATCCTAGTCCAAGGCCTCGGCCGATTCCCAATTCTATTCTTTCTCATCTAAATTCCTAATCCCCAAATTCTTTCTCTCAACCCCCAAATCCCTAATTATCACGAGTGCCGAAGATCAGTATCGAGAATCCCTAGAAGCGGGGTTCTCACAATTGATATCAGAGCCCGGTTGTTGCACTCGTATCATGGGTTCGACTTACGTCGAGCTCTCAGTCGAAGAACTCACAAAGATTTTAAAGTTGAAGCTAGAAGAGTTTATCCAGAAAGATGAGAGTGATCTCAAAGGAAGGCTGCGGCACATCAATCACCTCGCCGCCAGCACCTTAACACCATCAGCTGCCGTTGAGATGGACTTGGGTCTGGTGGAGGGTTCCTCTCCAATCATGGCGGCGATTTCCATTCTCCAGCAACCCTAGAGCGCGCCACCAAGCGCAGTCTGTTGGGCCGTGCATATCGGTGGAGTGGGCCGCGAGCGGACCAGCCAATCTGGCCAGAACAAATGGGCCGAGTTGGGGTTCGGGTCATTGGGCCCAATGAGCCCGAAAATGGGCCGAAGCCAGGAGGAAATTGGGCCGAGACAAGGTTTGATGGTGAGTTGGACGAGAAGGAAGTCAGCTGGTTGCAAGGATATTGTGGGTCGGGTCTCATGATAATACTTGGGCTAGGGATGGCAACAAAACCCGAACCCACGGGTACACACCCGACCCAACCCGGTCAACGCGGGTAAAATCCGCGTTGACGGGTTTTGGGCCGGGTTTGGGTTTAAACCCGCTACACTATTCATCGGGTCGGGTTGGGTTTAGGTAAACCCGACCCATGGGTACCCGCCCACACACATATAATTACTTTTCCCGTATATTTAATATTCTAAATAATATATTTTCCTTAAACAATTAATATTCTTTATGTTTGTGGAGACATGTATAATTTGTTCTTTCTAATTGTTTAGAATGAAGTTGATATTATGAAGTGGAGAGTGAAGAAACTTAGTTGACGAGGAAGAAGCTTTCAATGAATCTTTTTGTTTATAGATGTTTATCTTTAATTTTGAACAATTTGTATTGATCATTTGCGGTTTGCTTGTATGCTCTAGATTGGTGTTTTTTTGTATGATTAATTTGTATGAGAAAATTGATGTTAAACGTTTATTTTGAAAGAAACTTGTTATTGTAAATTTTTTACCACAAAAACCCACGGGTACCCATGAACCCGCGGATACCCAGCGGGTTGGGTTGGGTTTGAGTTTTTCAAACCCAACGGGTTTTACCCTGGATTTTTTTGGCGGATAAACCCATGGGTTTGGGTTTGACAAAACCTGCCCCAACCCGCCCCATTGCCATCCCTAACTTGGGCCTCCATTGGGCTGTCGGATTTCTTCTCTATTGTATGGATATGGCTTAGAAGAAATGAAAGATGAAACCAAAGTGGGCTTAGCCGGTGGACTCCTCAAGGAGCCAAGCCCAAATGGAAATAAAGAAAAGAAGAGCACCATGAGGTTTAATATTGGTTTGGGCTCCAGTTATTTATTGCAACCAATCGTGGGCCAAGTCCAAGGAAGAGAAGATTGGTTTGTCTTCACCATCAAGCCTATGATGGAATTTATGGACCATTTCCTTGAAGACCACAAGCTAGAGCATAAAGAAGAACAATTCCCCGATTCATATTTTGTGGAGTTCGAGAAGGAAAAATTGTTCCGCTATGAAGAACGTGACATATGTCACGTGGGTGGAGAGTCGAGGAAAGTTGGACTAACGCGAGAAGAGTTCATTTGTGGAATTGAGCGCAATTGGAAGCAGAGAAAGCGAAAGATCAAGAAGACGATAGTTGACTGCAACCTTGAGGACAAGGTCGCTTCGAAGGAGGGTGGAATGTTAGACATATAATTAGTATAATAATAATAATAATAATAATAATAATAATAATAATTAGTTCAAAACCTTGCTTTTGATAGTTTTGGGAGTAACTAGCCCAAACACCAACCAAAAATTCCCTGCTACTATTGCTCTTAACCACCCGCAAATCTGCCAATCCTTCAATTACTGGGATTACCATGAAGCTTGGATTAATGCCTTCTTCAAGCAAAACCATATGTACCGACACTCCTGGAGTTTTTTCTGGGATTACAAAACTCCCATCATTTTCCCTAACTGGTTTATGCACTGGTGGGATCTTTTTGGGCCAACTGAAAATATCTATCCAACTGAGATACAAGAGGGATATCAAACCTTCTGTCAAAAATATTCTGGTCCAGGATTCCCCCTCCTTAAATTTTGTTACTACATCAAAGTTCCTTGGATTACTGCTTGGGAATTCAGTTACCAAACATGTGCTGTCACAAAGGTACCCATGTTAGGCCGCAGCTTCAAAACCAAATATTGGGCTGCAAATCCTCGCCCAGAACAGGCCTACAAACCTCAAGTCCTCCAATGGTTCAATAACAATCCTGAGTTGTCCAAAGTTATCGAAAAATCCTCAACGCAATTTTTGCAAACAAAATCCTCAATCAGCGCTCTCTTAGCTGGCGCCAAGACTGAAGAAGAATACTTCCAAATTCTCAAAGATGTGGCGTCTAGCTCAACATCTGACGCAGATTCCACGTTCCAAAACCATGACCCGGATGAAGAAGTGCTTGGTCCTTTGCCAACAAAGAGCACTAAGTTGAAAACAAAGAAGAAGTGACCCCATTGCTTCTTCCACTACCACAAAGACAAAGAAGAAGTGACTCCACTTCCAACCCACGTTCCTAAAGACAAAGAAGAAGTGACTCCACTTCCAATCCACTCAATTTGGTTATGGAAAGAAGACCACAAATTATCTATTTTTCTTTTTATTAAAAATGTAATTTTGTTATGACATGTGACATAATCATATAAGTGTCCACATTGTCATCATTATGTTTTTCAATTTATTTACCAAAAGGGGACTCCATTCCTCTATAAAAGGAGACTCCCTTCACTTGTTGTAAGTAGAGTTGTTTTGAGTGGGAATTGCTCTCTTGCAAAACTTCCTCCCATCATCTTCTCTCAAGAATTCCTGTGTAAGAAGTCTATCAAATTATCAAGTTTTACTTCATCTTTTTCAAATCATCTTCAACTTTTATTTATTTCGTGCATAACTGGTCATCTCCAGTATTTATTTTATGCAAAACTGGTCATCTCCAGTATTTATCTTCTGCTAATCTGGTCATCTCCAGTATTTACTTTTTGCTTTTATTTTATGCAAAACTGGTCATCTCCAGTATTTATCTTCTGCTAATCTGGTCATCTCCAGTATTTACATTTTGCTAATCTGGTCATTTCCAGTATCATTTACTTTACAAACTATTTTCAAGTTAATCTCTTATTGGCTGTCTCATTCTCGTCCTTACTGGTATCAGAGCCTGGGGGGGGGGGGGAAGGGTTAGTCGATTCCCACAATCCTTCTCTTCCTGACTTCCAAAAGGAATTGGATATTGTTAAGAAAGAAATTCAACAATTACGACAGTTACAAAATAGTGATCTTGAAATATTACAAACTTTAATAGCTCTCAAACCTTTAGAAGAGCCATCAACATCTAGCCCCGAAAACTTTTTCGATGAAACTCCTCACGCAACCAATAGTTTAGAAACAGAGGAAATGCTAACTGATGACGATTTTCTATGTTTTTTATCTATCATTACTACCCAAAAATGGTATGTTATCATTAATATTCAGGTTTCTTCTGATTTTACTTTAAGCACAGTGGCCCTTCTTGATACAGGAGCAGACATGAACTGCATCCAAGAAGGATTAATTCCAACTAAGTACTATGAAAAGACCCTCGAGCGTCTATCTACCGCTAACTCTCAACCTCTTCAAATACAATATAAACTTTCTAATGCTTTAATTTGTCATCAAAATGTTGAATTCAAAACTCCTTTTGTCCTAGTACGTGATATGCAACAAAAGGTGATCTTAGGGACACCTTTTCTAAATCTTCTAAAACCTTTTACCGTCACCGACCAAGGAATTAACACCGTTGTGTTAAGAAACAATGTTGAATTCTCATTTCTCCAAAAACCAAAAGTTCGAAACCTAAATGTTTTACGACGTTCTTCAATAAAATATATACACCATATAATTCGTTGTAAAACTAATCAAATATCTTATTTGCATGATGAGATACATTTTCAGCGAATCTTACAACAACTTTCTCAACCTCTTTTGCAAAAACGAATAAACTCTTTAAAAGAACACATTGAAAGCTCTATTTGTGCTGATACACCCAATGCTTTTTGGCATAAAAAACAACATCAGGTAGATCTTCCTTACGAAAAAGATTTCACAGAAAATCTCATTCCCACCAAGGCTAGGCCTATCCAAATGAATTCAGACCTTGAAAAACATTGTCGACAAGAAATTAAAGAATTGCTCAAAAAGGGCCTTATCAGATCTAGCAAATCCCCTTGGAGTTGTTCTGCTTTCTATGTCATTAATAATGCAGAAAAGGAACGTGGCGTTCCTCGTCTTGTTATAAACTACAAACCGTTGAATAAGGCTCTGAAGTGGATTAGGTATCCTATCCCCAACCAAAAGGATCTACTCCAGAAACTTTCACAGTCCCTAATATTTTCTAAATTTGACATGAAATCCGGATTTTGGCAAATCCAAATCAAAGAAACAGACCGCTATAAAACTGCTTTTACCGTTCCCTTTGGCCAATATGAATGGAACGTCATGCCGTTTGGTTTAAAAAATGCTCCCTCAGAATTTCAAAGAATTATGAATCAAATCTACTCTCCTTATTTTGATTTCATAATAGTTTATATTGATGATGTGCTGGTTTTTTCTTCGTCCATTGACCAACATTTCAAACATCTCAATTTATTTCTTGAAGTTACTCGACGTAACGGTCTGGCTGTTTCTAAACCAAAACTTTGTCTTTTTCAAACTAAGATACGTTTTTTGGGTCACTACATTAGTCAAGGAACAATTGTTCCAATCGAAAGATCTCTTCAATTTGCTGATAAATTTCCTGATCAAATTTTAGACAAAAATCAATTACAACGGTTCCTGGGTAGTTTAAACTATGTCCTTGACTTTTATCCCAACATCAATCTTCTTTGTAAACCTCTCCATGATAGATTGAAAAAGAGTCCCCCTCCCTGGAGTGACCAGCATACCAAAATAGTTCAGCAAATTAAGAGGCAGGTTCAGAGTCTCCCGTGCCTTCACATAAGTGATCCTTCTCTCCCTAAAATTGTCGAAACCGATGCCTCTGACCTAGGATATGGAGGAATCCTTAAGCAGATTCAAAATGATAAGGAGTTGTTGGTACACTTTACTTCTAAGCATTGGAACCCTACCCAAATCAATTATTCCACTGTCAAAAAAGAACTGCTTGCTATTGTTTTATGCATCTCAAAATTTCAGCATGATTTGCTCAATCAAAATTTTTTACTACGCATTGATTGCCAATCAGCAAAATACATTTTGGAAAAATATGTTCAAAACCTTGCTTCTAAACAAATATTTGCACGATGGCAAGCCATCCTTAGCATTTTTTATTTTGACATACAATTTATAAATGGTTCTTCAAACTCTCTTCCAGACTTCCTTACTCGGGAATTTTTGCAGGGAGGACGAAGTGCGGAAAACTCTCAGGCTTGCAATCTCCAGTCATAATGCCCCCTACCACTAGATTGCGAGATAAAGAGAAAATCAAAATCAAAACATGGAGAGAGATATTTGATGATGAACAAGGAAGCCCTGATCATTCAAGTGAGTATGAAGGAAGTTCTGATGATTCTGGTTCACACTCAAGTTCATCCAAAGCTTTAATCAATATTGATAAGCTTCCTCTTGAAGCCCAAAATTACCTTCAAAAATTTATTGCCGTTTCTGGTTCTAAACAAAAGCTTCCCACTGAAGCTTCAACTTCCTCAACAATTTCCCCTTCTAAACTAATTCTTTCAAATACTCAAACGCCAAGTGGCATCCTACCCACACCCATCTCTTCCGAAGAAACCAAACAAATCTATCAGCAACATCATCTTGATGTTGCACCTACCGCAACAGAGGTGGCATCTTCGATAGCCCCTCTCAAAACCGTTTTTCCAAAAACCCAAGAGGTGGTGGTTGTCCAAGCCCCTCAAAATCGATTTCAAACGTATTTTAAGAAAAACACTTTTCAACCCATTTTCGTTGTTGAAGATGGTTTCTACCATCAATATCCAAATGTTACTGCCAAACATTTCCTCAATGAGGGTTCTTCAAACCAAGATCCCTCAACAAAACCCACAAATATTATGAACTTATCCTCACAGAAACTGGATCAGTCACCTTTTCCCACAAATTTGATCCTTCAGACAAAACACTCAATTCCCACTCATAATAATAATAATAATAATTATTATTATTAATAATCTTAGGTTTTGGCGGCTAACCTAGGCCGATTAGGTTAGGACTAGTTCATTAGGGTTTTGGGTTTATTTCCTATAAATATGTATCTTGGGTTTACATCATAATAAATCAAGAAGAATATTAAGCAATTATCTCTCCTAAACCCTAATCTCTCTCAACTTCTAATTTCTCGTCTCATCCTAGTCCAAGACCTCGGCCGATTCCCAATTCTATTATTTCTCATCTAAATCCCTAATTCTTTCTCTCAACCCCCAAATCCCTAATTATCACGAGTGCCGAAGATCAGTATCGAGAATCCCTAGAAGCGGGGTTCTCACAATAACCCTCAAACCAATTAACACTTAGCAGAAATCGTGCAACAAACCATGGTACATGAAACTATACCGTACTGACGGTTTAACCACAAAATACCTATAATGGAGGCTAAACCAGTAGGCGGTACTTGACTGTTTTAATAATTGAACTACAAATAAACCACGATTTTACCATAAAATAACCTATCGCATACTTTTCCGATACTGTTTTATTGGCCATAACCCATTTTACAGTTTCCCAAGTTATAAATCACTATCCTATTGCTACTAACGTTAGCGTACGTATATATATGGAGCAGTAGCTATCCAGCTAGCTAGCTAGTGGGCAAAATTACTTCCCTACATGAAATCAGTTGTTTGTTTCTTTCAATCTCTTATGTAATATATATACATAATGTTTCACCAACATCTCAGTTGGTTGTTAAATCAATCCGTGGATTCGGAAGTACGTGTAGTTTTAGCTTAAACCCTAAACCAACAAGCAAACCTGGAATCACGTTTGGAGTTATTATGGATTCGACAAGGATATGTTTCTATACAGAGTGGACAATCGGCTCTCCTAAGTCTTCTCTTTTGTCGCGGCTTTTGTTAGGAGCAAGGCCACACCGTATAAAGAAGTGGTTAATATTCAAATTCGAACTTCTCGTAGCAAATCGAGTTATTGTGATCTGTTGGTTCATGAGACGATATCAGCATCTTTCGAGAGGGAGTCCGACTACCAATCATCAATAGGCTAATAAGCGAGACATAACAACAATAAGTCGCGGGTAGCTTTTACAATAGACTGTAGCTACTCATTGGTCTTATTTTGACTAGGCTTCGGTACGGAAAGAAAGAATTTCTTAGTAGATGGCAGGCATATTGATCTCGACCGTAAGTTGGTTTGTCCCAGTGTTTTAGAAAAAAATGTATCCTATCTTCAGGTCGACGGGAAATACTGGGTGCTGGACTCCAAACCTGTAGGCGGTTTGGCGGTATGAAACGTTTGAATGTTAAACTACAACTTTAGTATTATATAGTCCACCACTAACATTTTCAGTATAACATCCGGTACGATTTCACAATTTTTGGTTTATCCTTGAGGACATGTGTTTAAGTTATCTCACAACTCCTAATATTAACCGTTTGTCTTAAACCACATTGTATGACGGGCCTATACAAACAATAAGCTTATGAATTGACATTTGTATGAGGGGGTGTCGAGCGTATAATAAATATCTCCCAACAATTCGAGACGTAACGCACAATATGTTGGCGAGTTGTGGCTGCATGGTTGCCGTAATTGGCAGAACTTGGCCGAAACTGGACCTGGTTGAGTAAAGACTCTCCAAAGGCTTGTAAACTGGAAAGGAACAAAACCAATCACGACGGGTTGGTTTGCTTTTCACCTTGGTAAGTAATTAATCTGCAGGTGGGCTTATATTTTCCCCCGTTTTGAAAGCTGAAAAATCAACTACCATTTTTGGATCTCTTTGGAAAAATCCATCATGATATGCAGCTTTTCTTCACATATTAAGAAAAAAAGGAAATCTTTATTAACAGAGTGATATAATTTGTCTAGAAAGTCAACTCAAAATGTGGGGAAAGGAACTAAAATAATGCGTAGGGGTGGCTATTTGGTTCAATTTTTTTTGTTTTACCCGAAATCGGATTGTATATATAATTCGGACCGGGACCGGATAGTAAACAATTTAATCATGTCTTTGGGTTTAGATTTGAGGTAAAAAATCGTTCGGGATCGGACCGGAAACCGGATAAAGACCAGATAAGAGAGCCCAACGCACAAAACATAACCAACTTCTCACCCTTTCAGGCCTCAGCCCACTTAAACCCCCACAAGCTCAATTTAAAATCAAGATCGGATTGAGACCGCACCGAGTCAAGATCGGACCGGATCAAAACCGGACTGTTCCGTTTTTTGTACTCATATTTATGAAAAGACCGGACTGGGACCGGATCAATTCGGTTCAATTTAACCGGACCGGACCGTATAGCGACCCATAGTGAGAAGTTATGATATAGAATCTCATTTAGTCGTGTTTGAGTGGAGTTTGATTCTCTTTGTGCACTTCAACTCCTTCGGAAACAACGGATAAAACCATCATCCAGAGATTCAAAGAGTTGCTCACTCGTCATTGGGAAGTTCGTCTTTCCCATATCTTCCGAGAGGGTAAAAAGTGTGCATATCACTTACTAGTCGCCAGCATTTGTTGCTGATTGGTTCTCATAGTTTATCGAATTCATATCCTACTTTGTATCACTACATTGTGTATGATTTGCTTTCCAAATCTCAGTTGATTTTGAATGAAAGCTAAGACGCATTACATCCATTAAAATAAATCATAGAAACCCTCAAACCAAATAACACTTAGGAGAAACCTGTAACAAGCCCATTTTCAGTTTCCCCAAGCAAATCACTATTCTACCACTATTAATCTTAATGCAAGTGGTTAAATATCGTATATGACCATCTCACAACAACTAGAGTTATTGAGACTAAATTGGTTTATATAACATGATATTAGAGCTCGTGTCTCTTTGAGGTCACCATTTTGATGAATCGGTACAAATTTCAAAATCATAAATTAGTTTTTCGTTTAAAGTGACGTATGAGGAACTGGTTAAGTACCGTATAACTCACGTACTATAATTCCACATGCACCAGCTCCCATTTTACAGTAGCTAGCTAGCTAGCTAGTGGGCAAAACCTTCTCTACATGGAATCAGTTGTTTTCAAGCGCTTATATATATATACATACCGTCGTTTCACCAACATCTCAGTCGGTTGTTGAATCAATCCGTGCATGGATTCAAAAGTACGTGTTGTTTTAGCTTAAACCCTAAACCAACAAGCAACCTGAAACCACGTTTGGAGTTATATGCATACGATAATGATGTATCTATATAGAGTGTTCTCTTTTGTCGCGGCTCAAACGATTAGATATACATATACGACTCTCTCCCAATAATTCGATTTACTCAAATCACTTGGTTTATGACACGGTATCATAGCTTATTTGTCCCGAGAGTCATATGTTCAAGTCCTGACACGACCGTCAATATTAACCGTTCTTGTATTACAATACATGGTATGACGGATCTATGCAAATCACAAAACTACATGGATCTTTCCGAACAATTCAACCGAGTGAGACCAATTGATTTCGTGACAATTACGTTACTGTGAAATTTTGGTGAGTTGGTGGCTGCATCTGCGTGCTTTGCCGTAATTGGCAGAACTTGGCCGAAACTCGAGCTGGTTGAGTAAAGCCTCTCCAAAGGCTTATAAACTGGAAAGGAACAAAACCCAGGTTAGTTTGGTTTTCACCTTGGTCTTATAATTTTCCCCTTTTGAAAGCTGAAAAATCAACCACAATTTGTTAGGTTGGATTTCTTGGGAAAAAATCATCATTATATGTGCACATTTTCTTCACTAATTAAGAAAACAAGGAATCTTGTATTAAAAGACTGATCTAATTTCTCAAGGAAGTCAACTGAAAATCATTAGTTAGTACAAACTTCAGGGGGGAAAGATCATTATAACTCAAAATTTGCTGACCAATATGATAGTTTAGCATAAACACAAACAACATCTGAATTGCTATTCGTCGCCCTAAAATTTGAATTTGTTCGCCCTAAATCGTACTAAATTGACGTTTGTACCCTTGTGCCCAATTTCAGTCCGCAATCTTAACTTCTTGCCTCGTCCCACCGACCAACCAAATTCCGGCAGCTGCTGTTCCCCCAATCTGTCGTCGCTCCCATTCCGCCAGACCGCCGACAAACGATGCTTCCCGCGGAGTTTGCGGCGGAGACAGAAGGCAGAGGGCTTGTGGCGAGCTGGTGCAGGCAGGAAGAGGTGTTGAGACACCCAGCGATTGGAGGTTTCTGAGCCACATGAGCGTCTCCTGCGGCGTGCTAGAGATGATTGGAGGGAAATCGAAGAAGGTTATGGGACGCCGACGCTTCAAGGGTGGGAGAACATGACGACGCTTCAATCCATATCCAGAGAGAGAGAGAGAGAGAGAGAGAGAGAGAGAGAGAGAGAGAGAGAGAGAGAGAGAGAGAGAGAGAGAGAGAGAGAGAGAGAGAGAGAGAGAGAGGACGCGACGATGGGTCACGACAGGCGATGTCCGATCACTGAAGAGTGGGCGAAGCTCGGTGGCCGAGCTCCGACGTACTATGGCGGGGTGGAGGGTTTTTGTGGCAGACCTACGGTGGAGAGAATCTTTCTCATTTTGGTTTTCAATTAATTTTTAATTTTTTTATTGTGAGGTGGAATTCTTATTTGAATATATTTTATATTTGAATATTTTTTGTTATTGGGTATATTTCTTTGTGTTTGTTTTAGTATTTATGTGGTTTTGAAAAATAAAAACTACATTAAGGCTATTTAAGTCATTTTATTACATATTAGGGCGACGAATAAGATGTTTTAGGGCGACGAATAGCAATGCCCAACAACATTCTCCCCACTCAATTTTCTTTCCCTCCTTTCCCCCCCAAATTCAAAACTTCAGAGAAAACCAGACCAAACCACATATATGTTAAAGCTTGAGGAAGTTCGTCATCGATTGAAAACAAAGTTCATAAAAACAAAGAATCCTCACTACAATAGTACACCAAACCCATCCCGCCGGAGGTTGGAATGATCACAGATAGATCGCTGCGGCTATATGTTCACAGATTCAACCGCAAAATCAAATGCATCATCATCTTCTTCTTCTTCATGTTGTACACTTTCTACCTTGTTGGGTTTATATGAACATAGGCAGCTAAGTACAAGTAAACACAAACTCACCAAAAAAAAAGGGCTAATGAACACGCATCAAATCAATGGAACCCTCTTTTCCCTCTGGATTGATACAACTCCAACCTACTCTTGGATTCGGGCAACAACCCTTGAATCGTCACATTCTCCACCAAATGGGCCTGCTTCGTCGACCATTCGAGCACGATGAGCACCTCCTCGTTGGCCAGGACCTCGCTGTCCGGACAATTCATGGTAATGTAGCACAACATGATCAAGGAAGGGATCTGAATCATCTGCTCCCCGAAGTAAACCAACTGAATCAAATGCTTTGTCCCTCCCGCGGCGATCACAGCCTTGGAGTGGTTCACACACAGGAAATTCTCCGTGGAGGCGAACTTGTTCAGCGCCACTGCTGCCTCCATCATCACCTCGGGCTCCTTCTCGTCAAGCAGCTTCACCAATGGCCCCACGATCCTCGTCTCGGTGGCACGAAAAGTCCTCGCTAGGTTCCCCATGGATCGGATGCAGGGGACCAACAGGTCCGACTCTGCCATCTCGATCACTTTCAGGAGCTGGTCCACCACGGCTCGAGCGGATGGTGACGTGGGCTTGAAGGCCGATCGCCTCAAGTCCGCGTGCTGCTCAGCAACCGTGGTGATCTCCATCAACGCCATGGCCGAATACGATTGCACCTCCTCAGGCCCCTTCTCGAGCAGGATGGCGAAGCAGAGAAGTGCTCGTGACTCGGTTATGCTTCGACATATCGCCACGTTGCCTCGTGCGAGTTGCCATAGCGCTCGAGCTGCCATCGCCTTCATGTTGGCCTTGGTACTCGGATCTTCCTGCTCTCTCTTCTTGATGCTCGTCCCCGACAATTGGACGTGATGGCGTGGGCGTTGGTGTTGGTGGTGATGCTTGCCATTGTGATTCTTCCCTTTTCGCTTGGAGCTCTTGTTCTGGCCTCCTGCTAAGTTGGAAGAAGATGTTGATGGTGTTGTAGTCGATGGTTTTTGGTTGCTGTTGTTGTTGTTGTTTGGTGGGTTGTTCTGACCTAATGTGGTAGTGACCACATTTTGCATTTGAGATGGGGTTTGATTGTTCATCGGGTGCGAGATTTTCGGCACTGTTAAATCCTCCTCGGGGTCTCTATCGTGAGAGTTCTGACTACTGCTAGCTACGAGGACCGAATGAATGGAGTTCTGCTTGTTCATGTTCACAATCGTGTACTTGCTGTGTTCTTGAACAGTTTCGAAGGCGAGGTGACTGACCAAGAACCGGATTATGTTGTTCTGCGCGAAATGGTCTTGGCATTTGGGGTGGTGCGCAGCTAATTCCGATACAGCCCAGGCGACGACAGACTGAACCTTCATGTGACCTTCTTTGAGGATTTTCGCAAACACATTGCAAACCCCTGCATTCACAATCTGTTCGACGCTATCCGGGTCCCGACCCAGCAACCCGATTGCTCTCGCTGCGTTTTCCTGACCTTCCATTTTCCCCTCCTTCGCCAATTTGAGCAGCGGCGGGACGCCGCCTTCCTCGATGATGAGGCGGCCGTAGCGGTCGTTGTCTCTGGCGAGGGAGACGAGGGAGGCGGCGGCGTCGGATCTCTCCTCGGAGGAGCCCGTGTAGAGGATGGCGATCTGCTCCCAGATGAGACAGAGGATGGGCTCGTTGGCGGCGATGGGAGGGAGGCCGAGGTACTCGTCGTCGCGGTCATCGGCGGAGGCGGAGACGCGGAGGAGCCAGGAGACGTCGCCGATGGAGTTCTCGAGCTGGACGGAGAGCTTGCGGAAGGCGGCGGCGGGGATGATGGTGAACATCCGCTTCATGATTCCCGTGGCGCGGCATTTGATGACGAGGGTCAGGGCCTTGTCGAGGACCTGCTCGGTGTCGTCGATGATGCGGCGGGTGGGCCGCTCGTAGAGGTCGTTGCTGGCGCGGGCGGCTTGGCGGAGGAGGGTGGCGAGTTTCTCCGTCTTGGATTTCAGCTCCTGGCAGTCTTGCTTGAAAGATTGGGCCTCGTCGGCCGCCTTGGTGACGTGGTCGGCCAATTGGATTGGCCGCGCCAGGATCTCCTTCACGATGTCCGCCATGGCCGAAAGCGGACCAGAAGAAACTCCCTTTGGGGGGGAAAAACTTCCGACGCGAGGTTCTGGACTCTCAAAATGTGAGGAATGGAGACGGAGGAGAAAAAAAAAGGAAGACCCAAGAATTGGATTGCGGAGTATTGTAATGGGTTTCTTCTTCTTTCTTCTTTACCACCCTTGGGAGATTGGTTTCTCTGTTTCTTTTCTTCTTCTTTCTTCCTCTGTTTTCTTGTAAAAATGGTTTCCTGGGTGGTTCTTTTTTGTTTTTTTATTTAATCTATTTCCCCACCCTTTTGGGGATTTTGATCATGGAGTGGCGGCGATGGTGCGGGAGGGTGATCTCACCGCCGGCGGGGTGAGGGGGGAGAGGATTTGGGTGAGGAGAGAGAGAGGAAATGCAGGGGAGGAGAGAGAGAGAGGGGGGAAATGGGGGGTTTGAGGAATCGGAAGAGTCGGTTTTGCTCCAATTTTTACGATCAAAATTGCAAAGGCAACCGTTAGCCTTACGCTATATATAGAAGGTTTTGGTGATTTCGTTGGTCCAAACCATCATCAAAAGCATTTAGATTGTCACTTTGTCATCTAGCAAAAAGGCAGCAACCCAAACGAAAAGGACACAGGGGGGCTAATACTTTCACGATCTTTATTTTCCATAAATCTCTTGTATACAGGCATACAGCTACAAAAATGTGAAGTATGCTGTCATTCATCTCATTGCCTATCTGAACTCTGTGAAATCCATAAAAGAAATATGCAACCTTCAGAATTGAGAGGTTTGCTAAAGGGAGGGGAATTAAGGGGTCGTTTGCTTCAAGAATTTGGTACATGGATTTGGTATAAAAAAAATAAAAAATCAACTATCAGGGATTTAGGTACAATCCGTTGTTTGCTTGCACTTTTTTTGGAGACCAAATCCGTGGGGCCCACGGATTTTAAAGGTCCAAATTCGTGGACCCCACGGACTTATAAATCTCACACGTTGATGTGGGATTTGGAATATGGCATAAATCCTTGATGAGATTTTACCCATATATCCTCATGCACTTTTAATATTTCAAGGTTGCCCTCAAATTTAACTATTATACATTATAATTAACAATAAATGAATAATATAAACGTTCAATTAATGTGCAAACATGAGTTAGATTTTTTATATCATTTCTTGTGTTCTAGTTTTCTTTGACCTTTTCATGGAACGTGTAATTCTTTGTTCTCCCGATTCTAATATATGTTGTTATATGTTACTTTTGAAAAGGAGGACAAAGAATTTGTAATTGATTATGTTACGTTAAAAGTTAAAACGGAATTTTCTCGTTTATTATTATTGTCCATGTGGCAACATTATGCTTATTAGTATGTATTGTCCTTGTTTTGTGTACATATCATAAACATGTCAAACATATAGAAAATGATAGTAAGGTAATTTTGAAGTTTTGTCCTTGTTTTGTGTACATGTCATAAACATGTCAAACGTATAGAAAAGGGCAGTAATGTAATTTTTTACTTCAAGTAGTAAATCCCACACCTTTAAATCCATGATAAAAATATTCCAACAAACAAAGGATTGTTACAAATCCATGATGCCTCAAATCCTTGATAAATCCTTGGATTTTTAAATTACAAAACCCTCATTTTTAAATCCATGAAACAAACGACCCCTAAATGTTTTCTTATCCCAGTGAAGGTGATAAGCTAATGGACTTCTAGTGGACATCCATTAATGTTGATGACAGAGCAAAACTTCTACCTTTAATCAATGGGCGATGAAGGCACATCTTCTTCTTCATCTTCTTCTTCTTCTTCATGGTGACCAGCTAATTGTTCTGATACAGTGAATGTGTGCAGATTGTTCTGTTGCTCTATCCAGCTAATGCCCTGTTCCTTCTTTACCTGTCTTTTTTCCATGAGTTCTCTGAATTGCTCCGCCGAATCCCATTTCCCAAGTGTAGCATGTATGCTTGACAATAGTACATAGGCTGCAGGGGATTGAGGCTCCAACTTCATAAGCTGCTCAGCAGCTGTTTTCCCCAGCTCCATATTCCCATGGATTGCACAAACACCAAGTAGAGCACTCAAAATCTGCTCGTTGGGCTCACAAGGCAATTTCTGAAGCTGGTTTATCAAATTGTCAAAATCTCCAGCCCGTCCAAGGATATCGATTAAGCAAGCATAATGCTCTTGATCTGGCACGACACAATGACTAAGGGTCATAGACTCAAAGACCCTCAGCCCTTCCTGCACAAGACCGGAATGGCTGCAAGCATGTAGGAGGATGATCAACGTTATCCTATTTGGCTTTACCCCTGAACATATCATCTCGTCGACCATGCGAATGGCTTCCTCACCACGGCCATGCTGTGCTAGGGCAGAAAGCATTGTATTCCACAAGACAACGTCTTTCTTAACACCCGTGGCATCAAAGACCAGCCTACCAGCATCCAAACACCCACATTTTGCATACATGTCGATGAGAGAGCTCACAACAATTGCATTAGGCCTGAAATTCATGCGTGTCATATAAGCATGTACCTGTTTCCCATGCTTTAGAGAAGCTATACTAGCACAAGCACAAAGACAACTGCTAAATGTAAATTGATCTGGTCTAATGCGGAATGCCATCATTCTAGCAAACAACTGAAGAGCCCTGTGCCCTTGACCATGTCGGGCATACCCAGCGATCAAAGACGTCCAGGAAACATGGTTCATTGCAGGCATCAAATGGAAGAACTCAGTAGCCGTCTTCATGTTCCCACATTGGGCAAAACCTGAAACCATCGTTGTCCATGCCAGCACGTCCTTTACTTTCATCTCTTCAAATAAACTACGAGCGAAACCCATCTCTCCACATTTTGCATAAGCATCAAGAACTGAGCATGACACGACTACATTGGATAGAAGACCCATAACCAGAACCTGGCCATGAGCCTGCCTAGTTAACTGAATTTCCTTCAACTTCACACAAATTGTCAGCAAACCAGTAAAAGTATAGTCATTGCATCCAATCCCCGCCCTCCTCAATCCCCTATAATAATCCAAAGCCTCCGCGCATAACCCACTCTTTGCATACCCAAACACCATAGTATTCCAGGAGACAACGTCTTTCTCCGGCATTTTATAAAAAAGCTTCTTGGCCGGCTTTACCATGCCCATTTTAGCATACCCAGAAAGCATATGGTTCCAAGAGTAGAGATTCTTGTGTACCATTTTGTCGAACACCTTCCGGGCGCCTATATGGTCACGGCATTCGGAGTACATGTAGATCAAATGGTTGGACAAGAGCGTGTTGGGTCGTTTCAGTCCTGTCACCTTCAAGTGGAGATGGACCCATTTCCCCAATTTCAGCGACTTCCACTCGGCGCACTTCTTGACGAGGAAAGCTAGCGTATCGCAGGGAAGGCGAATTCCTCTGCGGGTCAATTGCTCAAGCGAAGAGACTGCTTCCCGGAGCTGGCCGTTTGAAGACTGGCGCAGAATGGCGCGGGCTATGCAGGAGATGTCCGGGCGTGATTTGGAGGGAGAAGCCACGGTTTTGGATGCGGAAGAGGGCGGCAGTGAAGCCAATTCCTTTGCTTTGCTGGTTCTAGAGATCACGAGCTCAGACTGCTAGCGGGAAGCAAAAACCTACATCTTTGAATCGAACAATTGAACTTCTCGACACATTCCGTCCCGATGAGAGCTACCGCCATCACAGTTATGGAGAACGAGGGAACATAGAAGGTCGGCAATGGAATGTGGAGTGTGTAGAACAGAAAACCAGAAGCGCTAATCTCATCCTTCGTCGCTGAAGTTTCCACTAGCCGTCCAAGGTGAAGTGAATAACTCGGCGGCTATATACTATATGCAATCCACCAGCGGCGGGCAGTACTGCACTGCCTTATGCAGCTTTGCTGCTCGGAGGCGGCGGGAAAGGCAGCGACCGGAGAGTGGCTTCCGACGGCGACGGGGAGGGATAGATTTGAGTGAGAAATCTCTTTCCGGATTTGCGGTTCCGCTTCCTGATCCCTAAACTCTGTTCATCTGCTTTGGAAAATTACCAAACTACCACCAAAAAAGTTAGCTTTAACTAGCTGTTTTTAAATAAATTAGATAAAATCATTATTATTCACATCTTGGGTCCATAGCTCAGTGGTAGAGCAATTGACTGCAGATCAATAGGTCACCGGTTCGAACCCGGTTGGGCCCTTTCCTTGAGTTGTAATTTTATTTTTTTCATCCACTGTTGTTAACCGCGACTTTGAACAACGGGCCGAAGTTGGGCTCTGGCCTTTCTTCTCTCAACGGGCCCGACACTTTAAATAATGGGCTGTTGTTTGGTTTGACCTTTCTTAACTCACGGGCTCTGGGCTTTCGTCTCTTGCCCTCATCTTATTACGTTGTCTCTTTGGGCTTTTCCTTTAACCCTTAGCGCTGTGTGAGTGTGATTCTGTCAACCAAAAATTGTTGAATGGGCAAGAAAAGGAGCTTCTATTATTTGTTTTTGGATTGTTATTCGTCGCCCTAAAAATCTTTATTCGTCGTCCTAATTATGTTAAATTTACTCTAATGCCCTTAATTTATTTTTTGTCTCTAAAAAACTTAAACACTAAAACAAACACATTTAACCACTCGTCACGATGAATAGCGATTCAGGTTATAATCTCCTTAATTGTTGACTTGATTTACGTTGAGGAAGACAGAAGTGTAATCTCTTTTAATCCTTTAATTCCTTCCTAATTATCATCTTTCTGTCCAAATTTCTCTCTTTAACATCGATGATGATCATCCTTAGCCACATTGGAGCTACCCACAAGTCATCCAAAAGAAAACACAAGCATAAATCTGATTTACATGGAAGCTATATGAACACAGACCAAAATAATATTAACGAGGGCCACTCAATTGTAGGCCATACACATGGTAGTGATAATTCCTTTCTTCTTAATCCTTAGTTCTGCTGCGCTACGTCATTGATCTTCTTCCTTTTACGGCAGATCCAGTGGCCGCCTTCCTTCCTCCTCTTGGTCGACAGCAACGACGAATAGTAGTGGCGGCGAGGAGTGACACTGGCGGGAGCAGCGGCGGGAGCAGTTATAGGGTCGGATTGTTTGCTGGGTTTTTGTGTTAGTTTTGATGTTAGGGGTATATGTGTCAACTTAGTATAGTTTAGGGCGATTTATTTTGAATTTTAGGGCGACAAATAGCAATTCAGTTTGTTTTTAGGCTAAATTATACGATTGGTCACTCAAATTATACAAATTTTTCATGTTCGCCACTCGAATCACTTTCCTTGCATATTATCCATTAACTTTACTAATGATTGCATCGTTAATCACCGGCCATCTATCTCTATTAGACTCCGTTAACTCCGTTAATATTTTGATGACGTGACAAATGAAACTATTCACAAATTTCAGCAACACACTGGTAGTAAAATTATCCAAATAATTAAGAGTGGATAGGATTAATCTCACATAACATTTGAGGTTTACATAGAACTCCTCTGTTCCGTGCTAATAAAATTATATACTCTGCTTTCTCTCCGTCAACTAAACAGAAGAAGCAGATTTTCTCCTTAATTAAAAACACGTGTACAATGAGATAAATTATACAACATGCGCAGAACTGAAATTCCATTAAAAAAAAAAAAGAGGCAACTACCAGCACTGATCGGTTTCCCAGTTCCTCCGGCCGCCGTAGACAGCTGCAGGGTAACCGGACGGGGCCGCCGACGAATTGAAGTGAATCGACGAAGACCCAAAAGGATCGCGGCGGTGGCGGTGGTAGAGATCCCTGTCGTAATTCTTTCGCTGATCGGGATCCGACAGCGTGGAGTATGCGGAGTGGATTCTCTTGAACTCGTCGGCCGACACCTCCCGCCGGCTGACAGACACCACGTCGGGGTGGCACGTTCTCGCTAGCCGTCGGTACGCTGCCTTTATCTCGCCGCCGGTCGCGCTCGTCGGAATTCCCAGCACTTCGTAGAGCGATAAGGACCCAGCAGCAGATGCCATTTCCTTTCTGCTTTTTTTGCCTCTTTTCTTTTATGTTGTGTTCGAGTTTCGTGTGTCAGGATTCGTAGGGCAGGGTTTTTATAGAGTTCACAATGGTAGTGCCATTTAAAGGGTTTAATTGAGTTATGAATTATATATTAATTACTAATATCTCGTTCAAACGGAAACTACTATATGTCGGAAACTACTATATGTATACGGATGTTGAAGTTTGTATAAGTTCAAATATTATTTGCTTGACAAATAGGGTCGCCGAAATTTGAATAAAAGGCCTCTCGGTTATCGAATACTTTGATACCATGTCAATAATCAGTTAATTCCAATAACTCGAGTTGTAGAGAGATGTTCGATTATAGATCATAGAGCTTTTACTAACAGCATCAAATAACTCTTTAGTGATTGTACCCAATAGTCATAAAAAGATGTATAATGACTCGTAAAAATCGTATTATATCAAAAACTCATCCATCCAAATAATTAAGATCCAATGATATAACAAATTTGTTACTATTCAACTTCTGATCATATATATATATGAAGTTCTATGATACCCAGGGAAATCTGGGATACCGCATATCTTGAGTAAGAAAACGCTATCTAGAACTTGAATTGACTGATCTTTCGGACATGACACTATACTCTAATCCTTAAATATCAAAATCTAGGTCTTAATTCTCTAAATCTAATACCCCAATATCAATTTAATTAGAAACAATAATCGACGGTTATGATTCGTCCAAATATAGGCAGAAAAATAATGTACCATTTTAGGGTTTATAGTTTATGATTTAGATAATTAAGACCTATGGTTCACTCATTAAGGGTTAGGGTATAGTATCATGACCAAAAATCCTGCTAATTCGAGGTCTAAATAGTGTTTTCATACTCATGGTATTCGTTACCCCGAATTTACCCGGAGTACCGCAGAAGGCTCCATATATATATTGGTTTATCTACTCAGAATGATGCTGTTGGGGAGGTGTTTTCCAATAAGCCAAAATCAACTCGTAAGAATTTCTCATTACCACAAGCACAAGCAAACGTCTTGCTAGCTTTTAGAGTTGTGGCTGTCACTTTGAGAGGAGCCTTATCCTTAAGATAGAATGTACTGCGATGACTCAGCAACCTGGATAAATGGATAGATCTGTTTCTATATTTTATCTCATATCCATCATTGTAGAAGAAAGAACAATATGATAGGGTTCTCGTCTTTCTGCTGCTATTGTGCTCGATCTATCCATCTTTCTTCACCGTGTAGACATAATTATTGGAGTGCTAAACGACACAAGCAAGCAGCGATAAGGTTTTTTTTGCCGAAGTTGAAACAGGGGAAGGGTAATTTGGGAGGGAGCTATATCTCTATCTGCAATTTGGGTAGAGGAGACACTTCACATGTAAAACCACTGGTACAGTGGTACCTCCATTTTGTTGGGTATGAAGAAGATGGTGCAGTGCACCAAATTATAGTATCGGAAGAGTTCCTCTGTTCACTGGACTTAGCTCAAAGCTTATCAAGTATTGAGATCTAACAGGATTCAAACTCCGTGATTATTGTATTTTATTATCAAAGATTATGATAGTACACACACACAAAAAAAAGTGATGTAATCAGTGGCATAATCGTGTTGATGGCAGGAGATGCCGTAGCTGGGGGCTGTAAATGAGTCGAGTCGAGTCGAGTTTTTACTCAGTTTGAGCTCGGCTCGTTTATAAACTTTTTAGCTCGAATTTCGATTATTCAGCTCCAGCTCGACTCGGTAGACTCGGTAAATGCTCATTAACACAGCTTGTCTAGCTGAGTACAAGCTCGGCTCAAGATGAGATCGATTTTGAAATCATTCTTGCTAAACAAAAGGTGTAAACATAAAAATTCAAGTGATAAAAACAACACTATAAACTAAACATAGCAGCTAAGTTCCATACACATCTGTATTAACAAGATAATGATCATGTTCCGAAGAGTAAATTAATCAATCCACAAGCTAGCTCGCGAGCTTAGCTCAACAAGCCACCGAGTCAAGCTAGCTCACGAGCTTATCAAGCTGAGCATGATCTAGCTCACGAGCTTGGCTCGTTTACTAACGAGTCGGCCGCTCTCGAGTCGGCTTGTTAAATAACGAGCCGAATGTCGAACGAGTTTTCCGATTTCGAACGAGTCATCACTTCACTTCATCCATTGCACTTTATACATCTTTGAGAGCAAAAGGGATGTGAAGCCCACCCGATTCCCCCTCTTTTGCCCGATACGTGATTTGATTGCATTTGGACTCCAATGGAAACCTTTTCTCTATTTGCATACATAATAATGCTTGTTGGGTGACAATAGTTAAAAGTGACATTAATTGTACGTTACTTGGAGTTGTCACTTTCTTATCCCTTCCATACTTAGATTAGGGTTTTGTGTGGTTCCCTTTTTGCCTAATAACCAGCTTGATGCCTTTGTTTAGTCTTAATTGTCTTTTGCTCACTGTTTGCCCAATGAGAAAAGTGACTTGAAGAAGTTGACTGATAACTGACAAAAGTTGGCCAATGTGGCAAGAGCTCAATGCATGAATGAAATAGCTAGCCAAATGGGTTTGCGATCTGTTTTCAATTTCAATGGTGCACTCAACTAGCCAAACTTGGGTTGTCATGACTCATTTTGAGTGTATATGTGTTATCCCATAGGATGATTATGTTCACATTTCTCATTCCAGGAGATAATAGTAAGCATCAATCGATGCAAGTCTAGAAGTTAGATTCCAGTATTGTACGGTGTCTGACTCATAAATAAAGTATTTATTCAATTTTGTGTTGATGCTATTAGGGCCGGAAGTTTGGTATCGGGGATATGTTACGAACGGAACAACAAAAGGAACTAGGTTACCGAATCTGGAGCTGAGTCGCGGACTAGGTCGCTCTCTTTAAGACGTTCGCGACACTGTCTTCGATGCGCACGGCAGACTATCAACCGGTCGTCTCCAAGATAAAACAGCTCCTCTCAATACTCGCGGTTTTGTGCGAAAACCGAAGCTCTCTAAACACTCTCTCTATTGTGTTTCTGCTCTTTGTGATGTGTTTAGAGAGGCTGGGGAGGCGGCTATTTATAGGAGCCGAACCCCTAGGAATATACCCTCTTGCTTGGAGAATAAGTCGGATTAATTAAGGAAGATAATTACTTCCTTAATTAAAACCGTCGGTTAAGATAAACCCGGAGGAATTATCCTTCGAATATTCCTTTTCAGTCGATTATCCCTTAGAATATTCCTCAGAATAACCGATTAATAATTAATTATTAGATAATTAATTTCGTTCGGAATTTCTGTAAAAAATATATATGTAGTCTCAAGTGAACCAACCAACCGACCGGTCGGTCGGTCGGACGGACAGACGGCGCGCGCCCGTGTGTGTGGTGGTCCGTTAGGTCCTCCCTCTCCCACAAAAGTGGGTCACCCCAAGGGGCATGCCCTTGGGAGAGAGGCTCCTATCTTTATACCCATTTCACCAAGTAAAACTACCAATGTGGTAGTTTTTCCACTTGAGACTCTATAGCTTTCAAAGCTATTCATATACATTTCCAACAATCCCCCACTTGAATAGTTTTGAAACTATCTCTGAGCATTAACAGTTCCATAAGATCGGGCATAAGCTAAGGTATCGCGAAGATTTGAACCTTAGCGTACTGGTTACACTTCCGATTTCATAAGGGTGACTCGTAGTCTTGAACCCTATCTCAGACAGTGTAGCACACCGGATCTTTTCATTGAGTTGTGTTCTCTTCTTAGCCCGTGCGTTTATGGCCATGCACGTTATCCTGGTTTAGTGAACGCTCTAGCAACTTTGTGTCTCCAAAGTTCCATAGGGAGCGGCCCCACTCCCACATTCACATAGGTGAGTCTATCAAGAGTACCCCCAAAGTAAAGTACTCCACCCCACATAGGGTATAGATCTCATTAAGAGTTATTAACTCAACCTCCATTGCTTTGGGATTCATGCTTCACTATGCATGAACTTTTCGCATACTACTCATGACTTGTTATTACCCATTGAACCCATTTCTTGGGATCTCCAGTCTATTGGGTCGGGTTACCATCACTTGTAGTCCGTGGTTTGGTAGGCATAAGTCCCATACTCTTGGCGGTATTTTGGACTTTCTCTCTAGGTAATCCTTTCGTCAAAGGATCAGCTAGATTCTGTTCGGATCTTATATGATCCACCCTCACTGCTCCTATCGTTAGGAGTTCTCTTACAGTACTGTGCTTACGACGAATCTGTCGTTTCTTTCCGTTATAGAACCGGTTCTCAACTTTAGCGATAGCTGCGGTACTATCACAATGGATCAATACCGGAGGGACCGGTCTTTCCCATAGGGGAATCTCTGACAACAATCCTCTCAACCAACTTGCTTCTTCACTAGCCGTTGCTAGTGCTATCATCTCTGATTCCATAGTTGATTGAGCTAGGATTGTTTGTTTCTTTGACTTCCAAGACACAGCTCCACCAGCGATGTTAAAAACATACCCGCTGGTTGCCTTGGAGTCATCTGATAGGGTATTCCAATCCGCATCACTATACCCTTCTAGTACAGCAGGAAACCTTTGATAGTGTATACCAAGGTTTGCTGTTCTCTTGAGGTATCTCATGACCCTCTCTATAGCATTCCAATGCTCTCTACTAGGACAGCTGTTAAACCTGCCAAGCAATCCCACGACATATGCAATGTCTGGTCGAGTGTAATCTGCAGCATAACGGAGACTGCCAATGATGCTAGCGTATTCTGATTGTCTTACACTGTCTCCAGTGTTCTTAAATAGCTTTACACTAGCATCATACGGAGTACACGCAGGTTTACAGTCGAAATAGTTATATTTCTTCAAGATCTTCTCTATGTAGCTAGATTGATCTGGAGAATAACCATTTGTTGTTCTAGTTATCTGGATTCCAAGCATAAACTTTGCTTCTCCCAGACCTTTCACCTCAAATCTCTCTTTCAACATGGCTTTTGCTTCATTGACCACGTGAATATTTGTACCAAATATCAACATGTCATCTACATACAAACATATGATAGTGCAAGTGTTATTTTCTGACTTGCAGTAAATACACTTGTCACTTTCATTCACCTTAAAGCCATGTGAGAGAACGAGAGTGTCAAACTTCTCATGCCACTGTTTTGGAGCCTGTTTCAAACCATATAATGATTTGTCTAACTTACAGACTTTTGAGGCATGTTCGGGGATAACAAACCCTTCTGGTTGTTCCATATAGATTTCTTCATCCAGATCACCGTTCAAAAAAGCGGTCTTAACATCCATTTGGTGTACCACGAGATTGTTCAAGGCAGCAAGAGCAATCATTACATGAATGGATGTTATTCTAGATACTGGTGAATAGGTATCGAAGAAATCTATATTCTCTCTCTGCCTGTAGCCCTTAACTACTAGGCGAGCTCGGAACCTTTCGATTGCACCATCAGGTTTCCGTTTCGTTTTTAGAACCCATTTATTACCTAAGACTTTGCAGCCAGGAGGTAATTCTGTTAGATGCCAAGTCTTATTAGCTTCTAACGATTCCATTTCGTCTATAACGGCCTCATTCCAAAAATCTGCATCTACGGAAGTTAATGCTTCCTGCAAATTTTTTGGATCTTCGAGGGTGAATACTGTAGTAAAGTCATCACCAAAATCTTTAGAGATTCTAGCTCTTTTACTTCTTCTGAGTTCATCCTCAGAACCAACACCCCCACTAGTTCCGTTATCTCTAATAGCGGGTAGTACATTACCCCCACTATTTCTCGTTTTAAATGGAAATCGTGTCTCAAAGAAATCAGCATCAATGAATTCAATTATAGTACGAGCATTCAAATCATAGAATCTATATGCCTTACTATTGGCCGCATAGCCAACGAAGACACACTCATATGCTCGACTAGCCAATTTAATCCTCTTAGGATCCGGAATTCTTACGTAGGCCAAACAGCCCCACGTTCTTAAATAGGACAGATTAGGTGGCTTATTCTTCAAGATCTCATAGGGTGATTCTTTTCTATTTGTTTTTGGAAGACGGTTTAGCACATAGCAAACTGTCAACAAAATATCACCCACCAAGAAGAAGCAGCTCCAGAATTGAGCATAATAGCCACGACTAATTCTGTAAACGTCCTATTTTTCCGCTCAGCTTTACCATTCATTTCTGGTGAATATGGTGTCGTGGTTTCATGAATGATACCATGTGAGCTATAGAATTCCTTGAAGGGATTAGAGTCATACTCTGATCCTCTATCACTCCTAAGTCTTTTTATCTTTCGATTGAACTGATTTTCAAATTCAACCACAAATACCTTGAACATATCAAGGGCTTAACTTTTGTTTTTCATCAAATAAACAAAGCAATAATATGAGCAATTGATAGACCGTTAATTACACATGTTTTTACCCCTGTTCTTACACCGTTTGAGATGTGATTTCTCGTGGTTTAGACCGATTTCACGCTAGGTTGTGCTTGTTTGTGATGTTTCAGGTCCTAGTACGTGAATGAAGGCTTAGGAGCGAGTCTGGGGTCGATTGGACGAAGAACGGACGAATGGCGAGGTTTTTGGGGAGCTGCACGGGCAGACTAGGGAGGCTGCACGGCCGTGCACGTGAGCAATATGGCCGTGCGCCTTATGCCGAGGACACGCACGGGCAACCCCTGAAGCTCGCACGGCCGTGCACCCTGGCCGTGCGAGAGGGCTGAAGTTCGACTAAATGACACGCTGCGTTTTGAGTTGCACGGCCAGAATGGTGATATGCACGACCGTGCACCCTGGCCGTGCGAGTCGGGATTTCCTAGTTTTAAGCCAAATTCCGAACCAAAGAAGGGGGATTCGAGTTTTTGAGAGAGAGATCAGTTCCTAAAGAGAGAAAGTGACGAGCAAGAGTTCCCAAGTGCCCTAGATTGTTCTTCAACACCATTGGAGGCTAGCTTGAGCTTGGAGAAGTGCCAATCAACGTCCAGAAGCAGGAATCCATCCTTCGCAGTATGAATTCCGTGTCTGATTCTGCTTTTACTTTCTTCTCCATGGAGTAGTTCTCCCATTCATCTGGGTATGGAGAACCCTAGATTTGTATGTTAGGCTTTGATTGTATGAACCCAAGTACTGATTCTGTGATTGATTATATTCGATTGAGGTTTTAATGATTGAATGACTTGAATCCTGATCAAATTCCTGTTGTTTCTGCTTTAACCTAGAATGAGAATATCTGCCTAGGTTAATAGAGTATCCTTGATTGAAGGTAGGGAGTTGGTGACTTTAGTCGAGGAGCCAACTCACTATTATGTACCGGATTTACTCCGGTAGTGGAGGTTTTGTTCTTAGGGCCTCAATCTGTCTACTCCGGTGGAGGTTAGTCGCCCGCTAGAGATTCAGATTGAGAGGGTCTAAAGACCTTTAGTCGAGACTTCAGGCTGTTTAAGAACCTTCCGCAGTATAACTATCATAGAAACTGAACTTGGTAATTACAATCCGGCTTAACTGCAGTCTAGGGGGAACCATATCCGGGTGACCTCTTTAACCTGAATACAACCAGTTTACTTGCTTTGTTTGTTTGGTAGTTTAGACTTGCACTCCAGTTTTATTGCTAGATAACAAGAACTCACTGAGTAGTCAGCAAATCTAGGACCCGGGTTGATAATTAAACCTAAACCCGCTATACTACGCTTTAGGAAGTGGTTTCACTTGGCCAATTCCTGGAGTGACAGTAGAGTCGAGTCAGCAATCATCTATGAAAGTGATAAAGTATCTCTTGCCAGACCTAGTTAACGTCCCATCTAGTTCACAAATATCAGAATGAATAAGATCTAAGGGTTCTGATTCTCTACTCACAGATTTATGGGGCGTTTTCGTTATTTTAGCTTGGCTACAAAAATCACATTTATCAAATTCATTCATTGAGAGTTTAGGGATATGTCCTAGCTTGCTTAAATTCTTCACAATACGTGTGTTCACATGACAAAGACGCGCATGCCAGACATTCAAATCACACACCATGTAAACTGAAGAATTCATCTTATTAATTTCGACATTCAACTTGAACATCCCATTACATGCATATCCCTTTCCCACAAAACTCTCATTCTTAGTAAGGGTATACAAATCTGCCCCAATAGATTGATTAAACCCAGCCTTATTAAGAAGATATCCCGAAACAAGATTCTTCCTTATCTCTGGAGTGTGCAACACATCCTTGAGCACCATCTTCTTCCCAGAGGTGAAGTTCAGCTCCACTTCACCAGAACCAGCAACCATAGTGGTGTGAGTAGTCCCCAACAACACTTTCTTGTCAGCAGGTGCTTCTGTGTATGTTTTAAACATAGCACGATTGTTGCATACATGCTTCGATGCACCTGTATCCAGCCACCATCCTTCTGAGTCACCGGTGAGGTTAACTTCAGTGATTATTTCTGTGATCATGGCTATCAAATCCTCTTCTGTCAAGTTAACCGTGGCAGCAGCGGCAGGGTTTTGCTTGTTCCGGCACTTCTTTGCCATATGACCCGGTTTTCCACAGTTATAGCAGATAAACGGTGGGTCATTCTTAGAGGTTTGGGCCATGACCCTTTGGTTACCTCGAGAGGCACCATTCTGGTGGGGGCGGACCTGCTGGTTCTTACTCTTAAACCCTTTCTGGTTAGGTTTAAGAGCTCTAGGGGTGGGTCGTTTAGCAGTGACGACCATCACCTCTTCTTTCATATCCTGCTTGCGGGACTCTTCCTCAATCCTTAGGCGAGTAATCAAGCTTTCCAGTGAAAATTCTTTGGTTTTGTGCCCAAGCATATTCTTAAAATCTTTCCACGAAGGGGGCAGCTTATCAATAATGCAAGCAACTTGAAATTGATCGTCCAGAGGCATACCTTCAGAGACGATCTCATGAGCTATTTTCTGAAGTTCATGGGACTGAACTTCGACGGACTTGTCATCCACCATCTGGTAGCGCAGGTAGCGGCTGACAGCATACTTCTTTGCTCCAGCCTCCTCCGTGTCGTACTTCTTTTGGAGCGCATCCCAGATCATCATCGCGGTGTTCTTACTGTCCGCATAGTAGTCGTAGAGATCGTCTGCCAGGCCGTTGAGGATGTAGTTCTTGCACAGGAAGTCATGCTCCCTTTCCCTGGCAGAAGCAGCCCTCTCCTCATCGGCCGCTTCTTCCGGCAGCTCGACGGGCATGCTGGTGAGGCAGTGGGCCAGCTTTTTGGTTGTCAGGTAGAACTCCATCTTTTGCCTCCAGCGACGGAAGTTGACCCAACGAAGCGAAAGGGTCGATTGATATCGACAGCACCAGATCGCGGACTAGGTCGCTCTCTTTAAGACGTGCGCGGCACTGCCTTCGATGCGCACGGCAGACTATAAACCGGTCGTCTCCAGGATAAAACAGCTCCTCTCAATACTCGCGGTTTGTGCGAAAACCGAAGCTCTCTAAACACTCTCTCTATTGTGTTTCTGCTCGTTGTGATGTGTTTAGAGGGACTGGGGAGGCGGCTATTTATAGGAGCCGAACCCCTAGGAATATACCCTCTTGCTTGGGGAATAAGTCGGATTAATTAAGGAAGATAATTACTTCCTTAATTAAAACCGTCGGTTAAGATAAACCCGGAGGGATTATCCTTCGAATATTCCTTTTCAGTCGATTATCCCTTAGAATATTCCTCATAATAACCGATTAATAATTAATTATTAGATAATTAATTTCGTTCGGAATTTCTGTAAAAAATATATATGTAGTCTCAAGTGAACCAACCAACCGACCGGTCGGCGCGCGCGTGTGTGTGGTGGTCCGTTAGGTCCTCCCTCTCCCACAAAAGTGGGTCACCCCAAGGGGCATGCCCTTGGGAGAGAGGCTCCTATCTTTATACCCATTTCACCAAGTAAAACTACCAATGTGGTAGTTTTTCCACTTGAGACTCTATAGCTTTCAAAGCTATTCATATACATTTCCAACAGGATATACCGAATACCGTATCGAATTTATCTATATTTGGTATTACCGAATACACGTATTATTTTTTGGGATTGAGATTCAATTATTGTTATTCAGTATTAGGGATTACGGGATTGTGAATTGTATATACCAAAATACCGAACAATGCCAAAATATAAGCTAGTGGGTATGTTAGCATCTCAACTAGACTCTCTTATTCAGTACTACACGACCCTCAACCACCAATCTATTGTTATTTTCATAACACCAATAAGCAAACACTAGTATTAGTCTTCTCTTAGTATCCAATTCGTCAAATTAAAGATGACCAATGACAAAAACTTGAGATGTCACCTCTCCTTCATTCTCCTTATCCATATCCTAGCTCTAGCCAAACTCAAAACTCTTTGCTTAGTCTCTTTGTCCTATATTAAACAATCAAATCTAATTTATATATTTAATTATTAATTGTAAATGTAATTAATTTCGTATTTCATAATACCGATTGGGATACCGAAATATTTAGGGATTGGGATTGGGATTGAGATTGATATTGATTTTAGAGTGTAATTCAGTATTCAGTATTGTACCGATACCATATCGATTTCCACCTCTAGATCCAGAAAGGTAAATAAAGTTAAGAAAGTAATATCTACAATGTGATGGCGAGAGTTATAATTCTTAGAAAAAGCGAAAAGGCTCACAATCATTTCATCCAGTTTTATACCCGGTATCAATTGAACCCTGTTGTACCCGTGGGTATGCTCACCACCATTCTATTGTGGCTTTCTTTTCTTACTAGCTTATACCCGATCCGTTGGTCGGATGAATTCATTCTTTTATTTTCTATTTTTTACTCTACTTGTCGACCGAATTACTTTAAATTTATTGAGTCGTGGAGTAGCAGCAAGAGCAAAAGAATGTTTATTTCCAGATAATTATATATTTAAAATGTAAATAGACCGTTAATATTTAGTACTTTAATTTAAAAGTAATTAGATATATTTTCAAACTTTAAGTACAATACTACAACACCTCCTATATTTTTTAATTGAATATATATTTCGACCAAGAAGGAAGTAACATAAGTTTAATAGCCCGTTCAAACGATTTGTTACCAATTTTATGCATAAAAGTACCTAAGTTTTCTTTGTTTTTCAAATTTTATTTATAAAAAAAAGTGTACATATCCATTTCTCACTCAAACTAAGTTTTCCCCAAGCAGCACCTCACCCGCAATATATTATTGTTTCTCATCATCTTACAATTTTTTCTAGCCATTGTTCATCAACCCTTCATTTCCTTCATTTAAAAAGCCTATCATCTCCAGAGTTCTTATCAAATTATCGTACTCGTCCAAACAATTTGTAGATCAGTGGTCAACTCAATAATCTACACGAATTTATCTCTTTCAATATAGTCGTGAGTTCTTATCAAGTTGACAGGGTGAGTTCACAATACCTGTAAATTGTCTAGATTCTACATAGCTGTAATCTATCATTGGTGATTAGCAAATCACCCACCAAATGATATGAACCTTGCAGAGACCGTATCTTGCCGTCAATTATTTTCTACTTTTACTTTCATTTACCATGTCCATATGTACGCATTGTCTAGTGAAATTCTCTTGTTTTGTTTCGGCCACATATGGTAATTCGTGAATTTCTCTACATGATTCACCCTCCAACATATAAGAATTCATGAACGTTTTTTCGGATTCCTCCAAGTTCGCATTTTTGTGCTCTAAAGCAAGAGTGTCAACTCCAGTTTTATATGTTTTGTAGATTTAGAAAAAATATACAAAAAAATTTGTTAACTATAATTAGTTATGATCAAGGTTGTCACATGTTTTAAACGGTTGACTCGTTCAAGCAAGTGGGCTAGCGGTTAATTGTGGAATACTCTAACTAGATTAACTATGTATTTATAACTAGCCTACAGCCCGGCCCGTTGGCCGCATTTGTTTAAGGAAATGGAGTTACAATATCTATAATGATAGTGTCGAGAAATGAGTCTTGTTTTATATTATCATAAGATTGTTGCAATTTTGCAATTCGTTGAAGACGAACATGTAATATGAATGAACATTCATAATAAGTTAGAAATACATTTGAAGATTAGCTAATCACAATAAAAATACTTACATGAAATTTTACTAATCACAAATCTAATCTAGTTGAGTATTACGACAAATAACATGCAAGTCCAAAATAAGAAAACTCAATACATTGTCTCATTGTTCATGACATGGTACTCAATTCAACAAAGGCAAAAATAATTTCACCAACACAAGTTCACAATAACCAAATGCATCGTTCTAGGGACCGACTGTGACCATGACTTCAAATGTCTGTTCTCCAAGCATGTTCAGAAGGGCCATATAGTCAGCATTGACAACATCTGCATGACTGAATACAGATTCAACAATCGTTCGTAACTCTGATGACGGGAAGACGATGTCAACACCAATGAATTCGTCCTCAATTGTGAGGTGGACGAAATGGATTCTGGATGTAGGGGACCAGGACGTCGTCAAATTCGTTACACGTCCGGATAACAAAAAAGAGGTGCCCTGATGTAAACACAGAAACGAATATTGTCAAAGCAAATCGATAAAATGCAGCATGCCACAAAAGGCGTACGATTAAAAAGAAATTTATTTGTTTAGTTACCTGATTTTCGACATCCACTTGCAACATAATAAGATCGATGGTGTCGGCACGCTCACAAATTTCAAGAGCATCATCATATTGCAGATTAGCAATAAAACCATGGGGAAGCCTATATATTGGACTGTAAGTTTTGGCATTAAGTAGTGAAAAAGAATCAAAATTACATGATGTAGTATTTGTTGGATGCATGAGCAGTACTTACTGATTGAATTGAGGCAGGCCCGCCATATTGAATGCAATTCGCACGGTCAATGGAACCGAAGTGTTTTGTATGGGAAGTAGTAAACGGAAATTGTAACATGAGAGAAAGTGGTATCTCCATTATATAAAGGAGAGAAAGTGATTCTACACACGTGATTTACTTGCCGCATGCAGTGGAGTACGTGTGTGTGTGGAAAGTGGGATAGTGGGGGAGTGGAGAAGGATTTGTGGCCTCGTGGGGGAGTGGAGAAGGTTGGCCATTTAGAGTTCAAGAGGCGGGTGTGTCACGGAACTCACGACCCACCTTCTTTTTTTTTTTTTTTTGAGGGGAACGACCCACCTTCTTAAAATCAAACATGCGCCTTCCTTTTATTTTGTTGCAATTAAAAATTCAAAAACAAAAGAAGGTAAGTACAGAATAAAATATAAAGAGAAGAAAAATCAGTTCACTTTTCCCAAAAAAGACCTAGCAGCCGCCCAAATTATGCTTTTTCAGTTTTAATAATTCTCACTTTATTCTTTTATCTCTAATAAGTGAAACAATAATTGTAAAAAAAAAATAATTGTTAAGTATACCAAGTAAGTCAACACCGGTTTATGATCGGTTTTTAATATCGATTAACCACCGGTTATCTGATAAACCTTGCACCCTTTACTAATCCGGATCGATGTCCGGTTCGGTTTTAACAACATTGCTAATTGCGACTGTGTCAACAATTCTTGTCCAAAATTGCCTCTCAAAGTTGCTAATTATTATTTGATGCGCCAACCCGGCCGGCCCGGCCCACACCACCACTAATTAACATGAAATGAAAATCATAATGAATGTATTTAATAAAGAAATAATGGCTTGGAATGCGGCAGCCTTCACCTCATAGAAGATCCAAAAAAATCGGATACTGGGCAGTAGAGGAGGTGGGGGAGTGGAGAAGGATCCGCCCAAGGTAGTGTAGGTTGGCCTTTTTTTTTAATGGGAATAGGTTGGCTATTTAGTTTCAACAAATCCGGCTGGGCATTCCCTCTCTAACTATATTTTATTTAACTGAACCATGCTTGGGTTGTTTTGTGGGCTGGGTTGTGGTGTTAATTTAGTTTAGTTCAGTTGCGACTATGGAAGTTCTTCTTCGTATTGCAATATAACGGTCACACTCGCATACCCTTCGGTAGAGTAAATTGAGGTACAATTAAATATAAAGTAGTGTGCATATATCACATTTCATATAATTGGCTGTTAAAAACAGGAAAATAATTTGGACAAATTGAGAACTCAAGATTCAAATTGTAACGACCCGATAAATTTGACAGTCTTAGTCCTCAAATCGAATAAAACATAATACATCAATAAACCACTACTCAAAAATCTCAGTGAACACAATGTTCTGCATAGTCTTCACCGGTTTACCTTGAGAGTCACAGCTAAGAATCTTGAGTCCCCTTTCCGATGTAACTCGAGACATAGCAGATGCCAACGTGATTTAATGTTTGACCTTGACTCTTGTTAATTGTCATTGCATATGACAGTGCAATTGGATATTGCCTTCGAACCAGAGTGAAATTTAAGCTCTTGTAGTGGACCAATAGACTTAGGCGTGGTAAGAAAACTGTATCACCAACATGTGTCCCGGTCAAAATTTGGACCTCAATAAACCACTTACCTAATCTCTTAACGATCATTCGAGTTCCATTGCAAAGCCCAGTACTCTGATCCAGATTTCGAAGCAGAATAACAGGGCACCCCAACTTCAATTTCAACTCATGTTCCGGAAAATTCCCAATCTTTAAAGAGTTCAAGAATTCAACTGTGTAGTCCCCTTCTTCAACATGCTGATTCTTGGCATCAATCTCTAGCGAATCCGAACTAAAATAAGAAACTTCTTCACCAGGAAATAGACCCAATACATAATTGTTAATGGCCGCAACAGTGTCATTATGAGGGGCTAAGATAGCTCGCTCAACCAAATAGGTTGACATATTTTCAGTGGAGAGTAACTGACCATATATTTCAGCAACAATATCAGGAATTGGATCACTGCGACGGGGAACACAAATGTGTAGAGGTATCGGGATAATTGATTCTCCAAAAATATTACTATTTGTACCATCACCAATTTCCAAAAGCCATTTGCTAAAATTTGAGATTGCTAACCTGGCCGATGCTTCAGAATGAGGCAATTTTAATCGCATGTTCTCGGTTAGCTTCAATACTGTCATAGACCGCCACAAATAAGATCTCTTTATGGAAGAATTAACAATTTCAGTCCGTGTACCCTTCGTGATGATAGGTAACGTCTGTCGGAAATCACCTCCAAACACAATAGTCATACCTCCAAAAGGCTTCAACTCAGAATCAACATGCTTAACTCGGAAAATATCCCTCAATGTACTATCTAGGGCCTCTATGTTGTGTTTATGAGCCATCGGTGCCTCATCCCAGATAATAAGTGAAGCATTGAGAATCAATTCAGCTACCTTAGAACCTTGCTCAATATTGCAAGTTGATTTTGTATCACAATCCAGGGGAATGTGAAATCTTGAGTGTGCAGTTCTTCCACCGACCATGAGCAGTGCAGCAATACCAGATGAAGCAACACATAATACTATCCTCTTCTCAAATCTTAATTGCTCACAAATTGCTCGCCACAGAAATGTCTTACCAGTACCCCCAAATCCATCCACAAAAAAGCATTTACCCTCATTGGTATAAACAGAATGTAATACCATATCGTAAGCGATTTGTTGTTCTCCATTCAACGGTCTACTATGTCGATCCTCAGAACAGTCTAAGTCATCGGGTCCATAATTCATCTCCATATCTATCAGCCTGTTTACCGTATGTGAACGCAAACACTGATCGGGAACAGGCAACCCAGGGAAATCTGCTAATGAATTCGAAAATCTCTCCATCAATTTGTCAATATGAATAAGGCACAACTCCTTAATTTCATCCTCCGACAAATTCAACTGGGGTAAATTCAGCTCTCTACGTCGTGAATGCAAAATGCCTTCACTTAGTAATTCCCAATTCTTTAACCAAAAAGAAGTCACATCAGCCACCTGACAATGAATAAGAATTGTGACAAAAAGTTTTCTAAGTTTATAACCAGAAGCCCAGTGCGAAGCTTCTTGGACACAATCATTCTATTCAGAATCTCCTGATAACAGTCCCCGAGCATAACATGCTTTTTGGAATGTTTCATATACCACCCCATTCACTGTTCTAATATCATCATAAGAACAACAACCCCTAACAACATGCAATAGCATTCGCAAATAGTATCGCTCCTTTGCGGATGGGTAGCAGTAATATAATCTAGCAATGCAGGTACCTTTTTTGCGCTGCTGCCACTTCTTGTATTTTTTATTCCATACATAATATTGTGGCATCTCCGCAAAGGTATATTTCCGTGCATCCATTGACTGAAGATTGAGATCCATCCATGCTAACAACATTGAGGTTTGGGAACTGCTAGACTCAACCGCTTCCTCCACGTTAGAATCAACATTTGAATACATTGTATTCTCACCAGGCAAATGACAGGACATACGCAGTACTGTTGGAGAGTGAGTGTATATATCAAACCTAAAAATTCTCCAACATGCTTCTCCCGATGTGATGTAACGGGCATCCATGAATGCCTTTATCTCATCGATTTGCACAACCGTAGTTCCACGATTCCGACCATCCATAGCCGAAGCTGTTTGTTGTGCAGCTACAGTGACCATTGCACGATCCCCGGGTTTGTTGATGTACTTAAACAAATATTTCACATCCCTATAGAAACATCAAATAAAACCAAGTTGTAGATGTTAGATAGGGAAGTAGGAAAAAGTTGTATTACATTTTTTCTTAAATGTGACTTGTATTAAATAAGAAATCAAAGTACAGAGAACAAAAGGAAACAAATGGATCACAATAGCTTATCCAAGGGGCAAAAAAAAAGAAGGAAAACACACCAAAAAATATTACAAAAATTACAGAGTTGCGGCAAGAAGTCACACCAATAAGATAACACTGGGTTTATAAAATAACTAAAAAAAAGAGAAATCGCACAAATATTGGTTTGGTTTTTATTCATCTTTGGAAATTAAATCATAATTCATATGCATGCATAAAGTTAATAATGAGTGTAGCATATAAATATACATATAGCCTGTCATTAAGAATCTGAGTTTGGTAATATAATAAAGGAAACAACAACGTCATATAGATAAATACGATTTACTTCAGCCATACCTTGTCTTGTTACAATATTCAATATTGATATGCGCTCCAAATCGTAGTAACAAATATCGATTGTAGGGTACAACCCATCGATTATCCAGATCAACGCCGCCACAGTTGAAAACTCTACCATTGTTCCGCCGACAATATTTAGCAAACCCAGTTTCATCAATAGTTGTTTGAGAAGAGTATTCCTTGGGGTAATGCTTACTACATTTCCCATTCTTCATGCACACATTATTAGGACGTACTGTACCACACGGGCCATGCATCATTGAACTTGTGACAACTGCATACAGTTCAGGATCAAGATCAGGATCCGGAATTTCAGCACATATTATGGAATCAATAGCCGCAGGACCATGGAATTTATTCTCCGAGGCCAAAAAAAGCAATATGTGTGCATGAGGGAGACCCCGCTTTTGCCATTCAATTGCTTTGACATCTGTACAGCAAGATGCAAATAGTGGAAAAGGAATATTAGTTCAATGAGGTAAGAGAGTAATGGATGAACATTAATAGACAAATAACGAATGAATAAGCACACATACATGCATTGATTTTCCCAAATATTTGTTTCTCGCGAATCTCTAACATAAACTCATCAAGCTTGATTTTGAAAACTCTGGCGGTGATGTCAGCCCGGTCAGGATCTTTGCCACTGTACCTTCTAATCAAATCAACCATTAACTGTATCTCTGGCCAGTAAGAATTGCAAGTGAATGTTATAAACAAATCAGGATAACCAATCCACTTGCAAATAGCCATCGCATCCTGAAAATTCTCATACTTGTATCTTGGACTACCAGTGTGTGAGGCAGCTAAAATAACTGGCTTCCCAGAAAGCTTGATATCACTATCCCCTCGCAAATAAGAATTCAACAAATCCTTGTAGTAGTGTCCTCTTAGCTTCGACTGATGGGTACGCATCCACTCTAAGCGTTCAGCCTCAATTAACGCAAATGCATTCACCATATATTGTTGAAACAATTTACCAGATAATAACAGAGAATTCGGCTCCTGGAGATGGGTTGAAGACGATATGCATAGAAATCACACTGGGTTATCATTTTATCTCCAACACTGATATTAGAGCTACTGTGACTATAGCTAATGCAGGGATGCCACCCATCCTCGTCATATGAGAATAAAATTGGATATTGTAATGCCATCAGACTTGGATGGTATACGCTAATCCTTTCCATTTCTGAACCCTTCTGTTGAACAATTATATCTGGAGAAAATGATTGCTCTCCTGTTTCATCTACAATCAATGCTGCAATCTCATTCGCAGAGGGCAAATCATATTCTCTACTATTAATTTCACGCTTAGCCAATAGTTTCAGTTGAAGCTCCTGGACACCAGAGTTTTGTATCCTATCTCGCGCAGAACGAAATGTACGTACCAGGATATTATTGTCATCAAACATATGCTGGAGGCCTTCAACAATACACTGGCGCAACGGATTCTTGGCAGGATCAGTGGAGTAAAAGTCCATACGATTCTGCACCTCGTTATCTGAATCGTGAATGTAAAGCTGTGCAAATTTCGGACTATCCCCATCACCAGGAACCAAACATCCTATTCGATGATAAATCTGACCACCGATTGAATATACATATACTCCACGACCATCATTAATAGAGTGATTGACTTTACCTCCGAGAGAAATAAAGCAAAAAATCCCATTATAGGCTCTGATGTTAGTACGAAAGTGACGCGCTAATGCTGTATCCCCTTCAAGTAGAGTTTTAAGAAATTCGGGCACATCTCTGCGGGGAGGCAATTTCACTTTACCATGTTTGCAACATAAAGGAAATGCAGGCAACACATCATTCCGTGTAGATAAAGTACTCTCGAACCGCCACATAACTGCTCCACAATGTTGACACGTACATGAAGGTGGACCAATATCAAAAAATTCAACCAACGAAAGACCTAGTGAAATAGATAAGTAATATTAATAAATTTTTGTCACAGTAATTCATAAATTGAATGAGATTGAGAAACTGTGAAGCCGATTTAGGCGCGCTACAATAAACACAATTATTAAAATAAATGTTCTCAAGGCAAGATAGATTGGTATACCGCTCATTTTAAGTAAGAATAAGTCAAATTTCAGGAAACACCAAAGTTTGTTCATAACACACAAATTTGCCGTTGACACATCAACATCTAAAAACAATCCACTATTTGCATAAGGTGACATGAAGCGTACATCACTAAATTATATGCATGGCATAAATGGGTACATTATATGTTCTAAAACCAAAATAGGAAACAAAATATGTTGACCAGAACACAAAAACATATATCCAATGTACAAAAACTAAACCAAAATAGAGATGAACCATTTCATGTATAATAGTGGCCATTAGAATCCACATACTTTGATTGACTTCAGTAGGAAAGAAACGTCGGCCACGTCTCTTTCTATGCAGATGAATACGTCGAAGTAATCGACTTTGCTTTTGTAATAGAAATCTAAACTCCGGCTCCAAAACTATGAACAACACCAAAACACATACGATATTAAAGAAATAAATAAAGATTCAACAATCTAGAATAGCCTAATTTGTAAGACTTGCTACAAAATTTAGCAAACAACAACCTTGGTGTTCAAAAGGCAAGCCCCTCCTATGAACCTTCTGTTTCAAAATATGATGTCTTCTCTTACGGGCGACTTGGGATAGTATTCGCCGAAGTTGAGAGAGTTGGAATTGTAAGGCAGCTTCTTCTGCAGAATTTAAATATAAAACCATGTATTACTCATTGAATAGATGAACTAATTAGAAAAATTAAAACACAGATAACACACCTCTCTCAAATGCTTCTTCCTCTTCAGCAGATAAAACACAGCGTTGGTACTGATCTTCAGGATGAATAAACACTGCTCGACGTTTCCCTAAACAAATGAGATTCAAGGGAAAATATTAATGTCAGTTTGCATTGAAGCAGTTGCGTGCTAAACCATGACACTCACATGGTACAGACGATCGATAAATCTGTGGTTGGGCAGATGGGATGACATTTGCACTATCCATATTAAATTCTCCAATAACCTGATGCAATCTGAAATAGAGGTCGTGGTAAATGATGCACCCGTTCCAGTAAATTTTGCAGCTGCCATTCATATAAATTAATTAATTGTTACAACAGAAGTTGAACTCCTCACCAATTATAAGTTTGTGCGAGTTAATGACACATACAACACACCACACAAACATAACAGTCGAAGAAAAATATAACTATATAAGGCATAATTTAAATTGATGAACAAAACATATATAACAGAATGGCTTCCAAGCTTGGGGATGCAAAGGAATGTGAGAAGGACAACAATGTAATGGCCAACACAAATATAATTCAAAGGCATCCATAAAAACCATATCCAAAGAGAAGTTTGAAAAAGAAGCAAGCTGGCAATAAGAAAAGCACTATAAGTGCTTACCAATTCTAGTTCTTCTAACTATACCAAGCTTATCCCTTCTTTCAATTATGCAGTTTACGCTTTGTACTTTTAGCACAAATGGATTCCAACTCTAATGTCACAATACAAATACAATGCAAATGAAGTTGAAGAACAATAAAACAAACTAATGGAGTGAGATAAAACTGTCCAATGATCTTATGTAATAACGGGGAAAAAGCCTGGTAGAACCAATACACTAACCAGTGGAGCATGCTTATCAATACCGCCTACTTTATACTTCTTTAGTGATTAGAGCTGAAAGTACATTATCAGATCATAGCCAGTCCCATTAGATTAATTAACCTAGAAACATATGAGAGAAACCCTTACTGATCAAGTTGGATTTCGACATTTACCTGCAACAGAGTTAACATCAGAAAGTAAATTGATTATGTCTCATACGTGGTGGCGGGTGGGGGACGGCGCGCCAAATTTCGTCGGCGATGGGCTGGTTCTGGACTCAAGTAGGCTGGGCCTCTGAAGTATGGGCTGGCGAGAGAAATGGATCCCCGAGGCCTTATGGTTTACGCTTTCCTTTTCCCCCGCCAGGCCAGTGGTAGTTTATAGCCGACCCTTCGGTTTACTGACCTGGAAAACGACCCGGACGAAGTACCTGGCTGCTGCCGCCGAACGTCTCTTTCTTTCCTCTTCTTTCTCTGCGGCCCGGAAAAACTCAGCTCAAAATCGGCAGTCGGCTGCTCTCTGGAAGACAGTCTAAGCGAAGTGGAATTTAAAGTAAGCAGCTTTGTTACTTTCAAGAGAAAGGGAAAAATCAAAAATCCCCTTTTGATCTCTAGAGAATCCAATCAACAGAATGAAGCGAGGAAGGTAAGAGAGAATAAAGAAAA